GCCAATCCCAAGGAGCGCTGCTATCACTTGAAACATCGGCGCGCATTCCCCCACTGCTGATAAAGAAATGTTTGACAATGTCTTAGGCTCTCACCGTGTATTAGCGATTTTGTTTATCATACAAAGAAAGTATTCTCGTGCATATCGTTGTATCTCATGAATAAAATGTTTATTCGAAAGTTGAAACATAAACGGTTAAAACCACAAATATTTTTGTAACTATCCCTACCCCAAATCGTTATTTCCAATAGTCAAAAACAGATTGTCAAGTTCAAATTTAAAATGCATCAAGTCTATAGCAATAAAATCTACGCACAATGCAATTGTTCTCCAAAGTGTTGTCACAATTTGCTTAATTAGAGAGGTGATAGAATGTTATGTAGTGTAGTATGAAATATATTCTTTTTTTGGCCAGGCCAAATACATAAATTGGGGTTTTAGGAGAAAATGTATACAAACTCTATAGGATCGGCCTATTCATGAATGGCTAATCTGTGTCATAATTTGAGATTATGGCTAAATTAAATGTATTTTGGGGGGTCAATAGTATACTTTGCAAATAAACATATATATCTTGATAAATGAATCAAAATGTATTATAGCACGAGATAGCGAGCAATTAATTATACACCCCAAAATAACTCCTGTTTAAAATTTGTACACTCATCTACCAGATGACGGTAGCTAGATTTTGCATTTTATTGGCGTCAAAAACAGATAGGTCGAGCTTATCTGACGCCATTTCTTCCACGTGTCCATCTATAGTAGTAGAAAAATTTCAATGCGCGGTAACTCTTTTTAGAATCTAGACGAACAGTGGTAAACATCGTGATCATATTATAGTCATGCTATGCAATGCACGAATACCAAAAACTTAATTTCATTTGACTCATAAATTAGTTGTCTGGTTTATCGAATATAAATAACGCTTGTACGCATATAATGTTACAAGTTTATGTACGTTCCCCAACAAGTTATCATACAGGTTGACCCCAGAAAAACAGAACCCAGTTCATTTGTAACATATCATGGACCAGTGGTTCTCAATCTTTTTTTTTCGTTCTTTTTTTGTTGCACAAAAATTCTGTGGTCTACTAACTTTGCAAGGAAAAAACTACAGGAAAAAAAATCTTCTAGTGAAGATAGACACTTTCACTTGAATATTTAAACAGCATCATCATTCATTGCTACTAAAATCAGAAATTGACTAATTTATCCATAACTCCAGCCTTTTTAATAGGTTTATGGCCAGCTGAAAACGTTACTGTGGCCCAATAGTGGGCCATGGCTCACTGATTGGGAACCAGTGTTTCAGAGAGACCATAGCTTTACTGAAACGTTGGGGTGCAATCATAAACAGACAGAAGCTCAAGTGTTAAATTAATTTTATTTATTTTCATTGGGGTAATCAGAAAACTTATGGGTTTTGTTACGTTGTATTACGTTATTACAACTAACTGATCTTAAATACTGATCAACCGAGTTTTACTATGCATTCATATACATATTTGGCAAACCAAGAATTGATATTTTCACCAAGCCTCCACTCTCGAAAAACTGTAAATTCAGGATAAAAACCGATTTACAGGCCCCCTTTCGACAAACTTCGAATATGTAATAATTTTTAATTTCAACCCCAACGAATTTCGCAGGCGCGATAGCCACGTTTTTTGCATCCAAATATGATGACAAATCTCCGTTAATAAATAACTTATTTGCTTTCACCTGTTTGCCCCATCTTGTATACTTGAAATATAAATTAAGGGTGACGGCGATGTTTTACTGTTTAAGTATCAGTTCATGCTCATTCGTGTCCTAATTACTAATCTATCATAATAAATTTCAAGCATTACTATAATATTCAAGTAAAGTTAACACATAGCTTAAAGGTGTAACGTTATAGCATGCGCGCTTCGATGGAACACGGTGATAATAAAGTTACTGGGGCGAAACATTCACAATGACTGACAATATGTGGAGCAGAAAAAAGGGCCAATTATATAAGTGTTTGGGTCAGGGTTCCCTTACTTGTATTTGTTACAACTCAGTAAGCGGCATCGTCCGAATAGTGAGGTAATTACTTGTCAAAATTTACCGCGGACGGGCCCTTCCGGCAGGACGTTGTATGCTGGACTTTTTCACTATTTCCATTAGTTTTACGTTTGGAGCATTTGGTAATGATGAATATATATATATATATATATATATATTGAAGGCAGGTACAAATACTGAATAAATTTAAATTAGGGAAATGAGTTTAGAAAAGTGTTGGTACGTCTTTGGAACGTTTTCTCTAGGTGAAACGTCAAAGTGTCAAGATACGTGTTCGCCCAAAGTAAATTACATGAACACTGACCCTGGATTCATTTTGTCAATATTTTACAGTCAAAGAGAATATTTGATTTAAATTCTTAGATAATGTTTGCTCAATTATATTGTACTCACGTTGATCAAACACGCAACTAAACAATATCACTGGGAACTACAGCAATTGTTCAGCTCCAAGTCGTTCACAGCTAGGCTAAAATTACATTTTGTATTAGAGAAGTATCCTGAAGAATGTGAATATACAATACAAAAAGTTTAAGCCTGCTGCGACGTACTTATTGTGGTAGTCCAGGTTATTTCTTCAAAGTTTCGTCATATATGGTTAAATGACGTTGCGACAAACATCCGCCCTGCAAGTTACTTGGAGTGGCGCAATCTCAACCGGCGAGTGATGTCATTGAATAGTGATGACATAACTTATTCTCTCCTATGTGGTTAAAAGAGAGATAGTTCTGCCTTGTAGGAAAACAAAAATTTAGTATAAATAGGAAACAAGCGGCGATTCTAATGAATGCACAATTTCTGCTGCGTCGTTCGTTAGAAAATGCACAGGGAGCCGTTTTGCAGATGTTAAAGGTTTGTGTTAGAACTTTTCCGTACTTTTAAAGAACGTTTTAAATAGTTTTAAGTGAACGTAGTCGGTCATTTTTTTCTGCGTGGGACTGATGGTAAAAGATTTTTCTGGGTTGTTGAGATCGATCAGAAGTGAAAAACATATGTGATGCAAATTGTTCCAAACCTGAAAAAAAAATTACGATAGGAAATAATAATAATGATATACAATTATTTTTTTCGATTGGTGCTAAACAAAGTCGTATATCGCCCATAAATTATTTTTATTGAAAATTTAATCAATTTAAATCTAAAATTGTTTGTTTTTCAAATTATGCGATCAACAAGCCATTAGTATAATTTACAGACCCAAATTCAAGAAGCCCAGAGGCCAACCGCAAAGAGAAAATTTAACTTGGTACCGGTAACAAGACTTGCATCTGTCTTGGGATATCGTCTGATTTCAAGGCATGCGTCATTCGCTAATTACAATCACAGAATAACGTCATTTCCTTTCATCTGTTTGGAGTTGATCTTACTGTGCGAGTCAAGCAAGCAACAGTAGCTGGTATAAGGTCTATAGTTTTTCCATCAATTTTGATTAGGAAGTATTTGGGTAAATGGAACTTCATGAATTGAAGCAGAAATGGCCGACATAAGAATGCTATGTACCTTATACAGTCATTGTCTTTAAGTTCCCTCGGGGAAGAATGAGGCCAAACAACGCGCTATAAAAACAATTATGAATTTAAGTTTCATTAATATTTAACTTTACATTTTTAACGAGCAAGCTGTGTGTGCATCGCCGCAGGGGATTAATGCGAACAATTGCGAAATGGTCAAAACAATTGGATGAGAATTGCTACCGATGGGAAGTCATATTCAGAAAATTCGTTGTTCTGTTATTGAGAACGTTTAGGCTAGGACGCTAAGGTGTCAGTTTTATCTTAAGTCTTGTTACCCAAATAATTGAACTGTTGTTCAAGTGTTTAAGGCAGACTAGTCATCGCGCGTTGCAAATTTAAAAGCTTTGAATCAGGTTAACTTAAGTTTCCCAAATGATCTGAGAGTCTGTACCATCCAGGTAAGCTGTCTCATAGAGTGTTAACCTACTCTTCATGGCTGACCCTGAAGTAACGTCCACGAAACTTAACTACAAGATCGCCTGAGTTCGGTTGTGGAGTAGTTTTATTTTAAGAATATACAACGCTGGTATATATGCTGAAAAAAACATCGGAATAATTTCTTGCAGTCCACATCCCAAAGTGAAAAATGAATTATGTATTCAAAATGTAAGCACTTTGTAAGATATGCGAATGCAATGCTCTATCTAATTGAGTTCAAATGTTTTGAAACTATTGCTAATATAATGCTCCCTTCGCCAGGTCACGATTTTGGAAAACTATCTAATGCAAAGTAATAATTAAAATTTATTTTATAATTCGATATTATTATCTTTATATTACATCTTTCTTAATAGTTCATATGAGAAATAGAAAATTCAAACTAACGAACGAAAACATTCGGCATTGCGCATATATATGAATGTTGATGTTTAACATCTTGTATTGCGAAGAGTTGATAAAAGTTGTAGTTTGTGTCTATACACAATAATTCCCATTCATCCGTCAAGATACCACGGGAGAACCAGAACCGCCCTTTGCGCAATGCCACTTATTTAATTTAGAAAAGGTATGAAAGACCACTGTGTTTGAAATATTTCGCCGATGTGCGTACAAATAGGGTTTATTTTCGCGTTATTAAAAAAAATTAAAAGGATAAATATACAGTCATTTCTGTTTACATAATTAGGTTCTGAAAATTTTTGCTCTTCTGGGTAATAATGTCATGCTGGAAACTTCGCATATTTCTGCCAGACAACCACCGCCATATTACTGAAATTTTTGGACTATTCAAATCCCTCTGGGAACGATTTATACAAAGCGAAAGGAGCAAGCTCTCTAGTCTAGCACGGTATTTCATGGACATTTCAAAATATGTTTTATTAGTCGTTTCCACGGCTGGTGTGCAGTGTGAATGCATACGAGACTTGCCATCGTAGCACGAGAAAGATTCTTCAAATTAATTTCCTAAAAAGTTTTCAAAAATGTTGATTTTATATTGATACATAGACTTTTTTGTAGATATTCTTCTAAAATTAACATAATTTCTATAAATAAAAAATTGCACTGCAAAGTTTAATGACAATATACCGTCATGAAATATAAGGATAACGTGGACGAAGATCAAATCCAAGTAAAGGTGGTTGGAATGAAACAGAATGGAGATGAATCACCCCCACCAAACTACGAAACTGCTACTTCAAATGGGACACCAGTGTAAGTTGATATTTTATCGAAAATTCAAATCTGGATAGGCAGATTTGGTGAAAGCAATGTGACCTCATTTAATTATTTCTTGGCGATCATTTTCCGTGTATCCGACCGTGTTTGGCTGTCAGTTACTGACTCACCTGAACCTTCAATTTATAGTTCTAGTCTTACTTTTTCAAAGTATGCGCACCAAGATGTCGCACCACCTGTACCCCAACCTGGTACACAACCTGAGTTCAGGGTGTGCGCCATCTTGGTGCGCATACTTCAGGAGGTCCATAGACAGAGACCCAAATGTCCTTCTGTAGTATTTTTAACGTATTTTGTAAAAAAAATGTCGCGCCCACCCCGAGCTGTGACAAACAAAAAATGTATATATAGATATATATATGTGCTATTTTCATATAAGCTAAAATATAGAAAACCTGGTGCAATACAGCTGCTTCCACAGTTTTTATCCACTATGGGGCGTGAATATGTTGTATATTGCACAATATTTCATATTCTTTCGTTAATAACAAATTAGGCGATTACCGGAAGTGTCTTGAGATCTATTACAACCGCGCGCTGATGACCCACGCTGGCCAAAGGCTATTTACGTGCGTATTGCGCGGTTTATTAATAAATTTACTGTGCGACAAAGCTTATATTCGCAAACAGGTGGCAGTTCCATTTGACCTATGTTTTAAGAAGAGTATCAAAATCTTGTGGTGTATTATTAGTGGTAAAATATAATTCTTATGTGTGATAAAATAGTTCTTCATAAAAATACGATATTAGAATGCTAATTTCACCAATTGAAAACGAAAAAAACAACGAATTGTCGCATTTAGGCTGAACCACCATATCAAGAATGTACATTTAATCGAGTGCTCTTTCTTCGATAAAGTATGTGTGGTCGGCTCCAAGTAATGTACAGATTGCGCCACTTAGTAAAATCTGTAGCATCAATATATCGTTTTCGACACGACAAAAATACACGTTCGTGAAGCGATCGATTGATGAAAGGACCTTCAAAATTTTCTGTTTGATAATATAAATGGCAGATGGTCTATTTAGAAGGCAGAGATGGAAAGTGGTAGTACTAGACGCACGTTTCGTCCATGACGAGTGAATTTGCATCAAGTGTCATTTGCGTGATGTAATTTTCAGTGATTTGACTCTAAAGCATCGACGTGTTGGTGGCATTATGTGATTCGGCATGGTTCTTTTTCGTGCATCTACAAATTTCAATTGTCATTACAGCATTAGGAAAAGCTTCCATCTCGTTTTACCCAATTTGGGTCGCGAGTACGTTGCGTACCTAACAATAACAATAAAATCACGCTGATACAGTGATATGGCACAAACAACAAACGCAGTTTAATAATATGCAAGATAGATTGTCGAATTACAGAATTATCTGAATATAGTGCGGTTGTAATTAATTTTTGCCTATCTGTCAACAATTTGTAGCTAGCTAATTTAGAAATTAGATATCACTATCCTATTCCAGTATTCACCTCAGTTTAAAACCGGAGGTGAAACATGGCACCTAATAAAACAGACCATGTAGAAAATGGTGATGAAAAACAAGCTTTTCTAGAAGAGAAAGTTGAAATTATTGATAAGAAAAAAAGGTGAAAAGATGTGCTATCAATAAAGTCCATTTTAGTAACACAAGTCATTGTACGATTAGATAGACAAGCTATTGTCTGATTGTGATCTATTGTTGATTCAACACCAATATAAAATAATCTTGAAATCACAGCGAACTGCAAGATCTGAAGATTTTAGTTTGTTTAATGCAATTACTATTATATGTTATTTCTGATGCCTGTCAGTCATAGTCATTGGTCTACAACAGTAATAAATATTAGATTTGTTAAATGTATTGTTCATATTATCTGAATGATGAATAACAACATAGGCCTACATATATATATATATATATATATATATATATGCTATGTTATTGATTGTCAATAAATGTTGAAATGAATGTGCATCTTATATGTAGCCTGATTATGCACACAATTTATTTGGATTGATCAGCATGTATCCTGAAAAAAATTTTGTTGCTAGTAGCAAAACGATGGTATAATTTTATTTCATATGAATATAGCAATCCCACACTAAAACTGGCGATTGTTTTTGAACACCCATTTATGGCAATTATGACATCAAATGTTTATGTTTTAGAACAAAAGATGGAAAAACAGAAAGCAAAGACATAAAAGATGATACTTCTGAAATTGGATATTTTGGAATTGTAAGCCTATGAGTTTTATTGTTTGAATAAATTTATTATAAGTGAAAATTATAAAAAGAAATATATATTGTTTTAACAATTTTCAAAATGTCTTCAAATTGCTGCACCATATCAATGCTGTTTAATATTGACCTCCTTTTCTCAGTTTCGGTTTGCTACTGGCAAGGACTACTTCTACATTTTGATCGGAACAATATCAGCTATCATCCATGGAGCATCTCTGCCGGTCATGTTTATATTCTTTGGTGACATGACCAATAGTTTCGTCAGTTATGGAAAATATGAACCGTGTGCTTTCAACTACACATTATGTGTTCAGCAAGGCGTGATTGATCCGAATGTAACTACATTTTTGTAAGTTGATTTTTTTCTAATCGTAGGAATAAAACAAGCTTCTTCTGTGAAATGCTTCTGTGTTGAAGATTTCTGTAGTATAGAAGGTCTCAATTATTCAATTCACTCATTTGAGTATGGTTAAGTGCCCAATGGTCAAGCGTTATACTTGAACATACTAGTATCACAGGTTCAAATCCTACGCCCGTCATCTCACTCAGGGCGTGATAAATGCAATTTTGAAATTGAAATGATTTCGGTTCCTCCTGACCATAGCAGCTTCTTACCTAACAAGGGTTACTTGCACAGAGCATTGTCCAGAGCAAAATGCGAGAGCATTGTCCAGAGCAAAATGCGATAAATTGAAAAATGCAAAAAAAATGTGGCTGTTTTTCTACAATATACAATTTTTGACATGATGGTTTTTATAGACCAAACAACCATCTCCAATCTCAGGTAATCGAAATTCAGTATGAAAAACAATCATTTGTTCTGAGAAATTCATCAAAGCCTGGTGAAGAAATTTGAATAGATGTTTTCAGTATACACGACCACTTATTTTTGCAATGTTATGTTGATCATTTAGAAATTTCAATCAGATGTTACAAAGTGCTCAGGAATTTAGTCTTAGTATGAATGATTTTGCTATATATTTCACCATTATCGGAGCGGCAGTGTGGCTCACAGGAGCAATTCAGGTATTCATTGGTGACATGAAGAATCTGCCTGGTTCATTTAGCATTAACATTTTCTGATGCTCGTTTTTACCTTTGTTGCATGGAATTTTCGTCTTATTAACTAACACTATAGGTTAACTTAGAAATATTTATAGTTTAATTTTAGTATAGTTTGAGTGGAAATATAATCCAAACTAAAAAATTTCACCTGCATCATCCAGATTTTATGCCAGAGTATCTATTTCTACAGATCCTTGTATAGAGCAAGCTCCAACAAAATTTATTTACCGGTATATGTCAGGTTATTATCAAAGTCAGAAATTGGGTGCTTATATGATATAAACCCAATATGTTCCCTAGATTATTAACCAGGAGATTCCCAAATGTTGTGTTGCAATGCCATTTAATGAGAGTAGAATCACTTTCCAATAGCTTTGTCTTAAAATGTGTGAATAGGCACAAGTATTTGATCGTCCCAATTTTCTATCAAGGTGATTATTCAAATATTCTATAACTAAAGTAGCATATAAACTATATTCTTCACGGCTTTATTTTCTTTGCTGGTATTGCCTCTGGCTCTGTGACTTGATACATATATATACTATATATGATCACAGTTTCCACCTTTACCAATTATTTTAATATTTTCCCACATTTTTCCAAGTTTACGTTTAGTCTAGGTATGTTTTATTGAACCAATTTCCTTTGGTTTGCATGATTTCTTTGGTTTACTCCTTGCTAATATATAGGTGTCATTATTGCATTGCAAATTGCATTGTTCATTGTTATATGAGTATGTATGGGTAAAGGTTCTGGTTATCAAGATAACCACACATTGGTCACCATATCCACAAATTCCTCAGGAATTACTGAACAAGATCTGGTTATTCTCATCACACTTGTTAATGCATTTTAAAAAATATTTTCATTTTATGAAAATTTCCGATTTTCTTGTTTTCGTTAAAGCGTGATTGAAGGGTATGCATGGGTTTCAACACCATAATCGTTATGTTAAGGATTCTTTCATTATAGCTTATTTCATGTTTATTCGTCTCCACAGTGAATTCGTACAAGAACTTGAGGAATATGGGACAGAATTAAATTCGGAAATGGCACGATATTCACTTTACTATGTATATCTGGCAATAATCATATTGGTTTTTGCCAGTATTCAGGTAACATGAGACACAATGCGCGTGATAAATCCGTTTTACTTCTAATCTTTCAATAATTGGTTAATTAATGCCTATTAAAAATGAGTCGGATATTTACATCAGCATCAACTCTGATTGAGGCTAAGTCATAATTTAAATTTTCAATTATTATTTTACCAATTTCATTCAGCCTTAGTTTTTTAGTCACTGTAGCGACATGCATGTTTCTAATCAATTATTACTAATTATGTTTTTGTATATTGTAGTCAGATACGAGACCAACTGCATGTCGAGAAATATTTTATAATCAATAAAGTAATGTCATGAAGCCATAATTCATGACTTATGTAAATATGTGCATGGTATGAATAGTGAGTGTTTAAAGCATGTTTTTAAAAATAATATTCTTTTCTGTTGTTGTTTCGCCGATCACAAAATAATCTTTTCCTATCATTTAGTAAACTGGACACTTGGTTTTTATATTATATTTTAGTGGTTCCCAACTGTAATACATTCCTTTACCTATTTTTCAACTCTTCAAAAACTTGGCTTGATTGTTAAGTTTATATGCAGACAAACTCAGATGCCTAATTATTATTAATTAAAGGATCATTATCTAGTGACATATTTAACGCACACTCTGGATTTTGCATGTTTTGAAAAATTTACAATAATTTGTGTGTAATATCGTAATAGTACATGCAAATACAAAGTAAAATATTCTACTCAAAAACAATAAAATTCTTTTCAAGGTAGAATATTTGGGAACATTAAGTAATTGTATGAATGAAATAAAAATCGGTCAGTGAAAAAAGATAATGTGAAACTAAGCTTAATAAGCAAAGTCCGTATTATATCTTATTAGTTAATAATAATAGCATCATTTGGTGTTTATGTCGACCAATCTATTCTGTAGTGGAAAATTTCGAAATCAATCTTTCAGTAAAGAAAATGGTTACGGTATCTTGTTATCAGAATAAGTTCAAAATTTAGTGGATTTGATATCTTTTTCATAATATTCATCATAAAATTCATAACCATTTAATTTGAACACACAGGTGTACTTTTGGATGCTTCAAGCTGTGAGACAAGTTCGTCAAATTCGTATCAAGTTTTTCCAGAGTATATTGCGTCAAGATATTGGTTTCTTTGATTTGAATTCAGTTGGAGAATTGAACACAAGACTTGCTGAGTGAGTTATGCTGCAAAATAAACTGATTTAACATTTTAATAACGCATTGGGTTGAGTGCTTACTGCTTAGGATTACTGAATTGAGCTTGTCCTAATCACTAGGGTTGTCCAGACCAGTTTAAATGAATTCGTATAGGCTATTGGTGTTATTTGAAATGGGTGTATTTTTAGAATTAAATAATACGAATTTCTCTTTGATACCATAAATTTTGCAATTTTTCAAAGAGAAATTTAGATTTATGTCATGATGATGTAAAATAGTTCTGTTCAGAGTACGCCAAAAGGAAATTTTGGGATTCTACAATCCCTAACTTTTCAAACATGGGCATTGATTTTTTCCAACTAACTGCCAGACATTCCCATTTCCAGTTTGACCTGAAGTTCAATAATAATAGCTGTGTAATTGATAAAAATAGTTTTATGTAAATAGTTGGGTATTTTGTAAAAGTAGTTATTCACTTTCTTTTCTAACTTCAAGTTAGTTCATTCATAGTTGAAATCTACTACTATTTGAATGCCTTACTACAATTTGCAACTTATTTTTATCAAAACAGTGACATTCAAAAAATTCAAGATGGAATAAGCGACAAAGTATCAATCTCAATTCAAATGTTTGCAAGAGCTTTGGCCGGTCTTGTCATTGGCTTCATTTACAGTTGGAAGTTGGCTCTTGTTATCCTTGCAGTTTCACCTTTACTAGGAATTTCTGCTGCTATGCTCTTCAAAGTAAGATAGATTCATTTATCTAACTTTTATAAAAAACCAAATTGTTATTGTTAATTAATGCCGCACTAAGATAGGATTTCATATTTATCCAAGGCGAGAGGAAAGTCGATAAAATGGCCTACCTAATCATTTTGATTCACCAGTCCATGTCGGGTATGGGATTAGTTAGCCAATACTCGGATTTGGTGGTGGAAAATTATTCAGCACAGAATCTGAACCAGCGAATTTACACAGGGTAATTAGGGGCGTGTTGGCAAACATATTCTTAATGCTTAGCACGATGCACCAACTGCTATTTTTTCATTGTTATAACTTTTATAACAGATCGCTACAGCTTTCACAAAGAAAGAATTACAGGCATATGCACAGGCTGGTGCAGTGGCCGAGGAAGTTATTTCTTCCATAAGAACTGTTGTTGCTTTTGGAGGAGAGGAAAAAGAATGTGAAAGGTTTTTATAAAAAATCATTGCTCGTGTAATTGAATTAATACACCAAGTTTTAATTAATTATAATTGCAAATATGTAGAAAACAATTTTGTCAAATGCTTGTTTAGATTTTTGTATTTGAATATCCAAATGTGGTTAGTGTCTAATTAACTGGTAATTTTTCCTGAAATCAACCTGCTTATACAAACAAAGTAATTAAATAATATGATTAATTAATAAGATAATTTATAGTACTGTAATTAATCTATTCTTGAAAATCATCTTTCCATATGTAATTCTTTTATTAATTCATGTTAGGTATGTTGCAAATCTTTCACATGCAAAAACTGTTGGGATAAAGAAGGGTACCATGAATGGTGTTGGTATCGGATTGGTATTTTTTATAATGTTTGCAACTTATGGTCTCGCATTTTGGTATGGATCTGAACTTGTACTGGCTGGCGAGTTGAACATCGGTCACCTACTCGTTGCTTTTTTCGGCGTCCTAATTGGCGCTTTTTCACTTGGTCAGGTACTTGAATTATTTTGATAATTTGCAAATTCTTTTTCTCTCTAATCTTTCCTTGTCTAATTCTTTTCCGTAGTCAAAATCTAATTTTAAGTAATTCAATTTAAGTAGGTTTTACTTTTCTATTTGTTCAGTTTTTGTGTACCTACTGGCAATTTGCATTGATTTTTTGCAATATCATTTATTTTATCGATAATTTTTTGATAATAGGAGTGATCATAATTTGCAATAGTCAGAATAACATGAATCTTCGAATACATTCAAATTCTTCATATTCAATACAATCAAATTGTTTTTTTGAGAATAATGTAAGATTCAGTGAAATTGGCATCTAACATTCAAACCAATCTAAATTTATTTAACTACTGATAACTGTAGGAAAACACTTTAACCAACTTTTCTACAATACAAAATAAATTTCAACAAAGATATAGTGATTTGTGCTAATGTCCATGTTAAATATGCTTCATTTTAAAGTATATTCAATATTCCACATTCAAGTCATTATTTTTTAATGTATTCGGAATAGACAATAAATATTCAGTTGTGGTCATTTTGTATTGTGATTCTAATAAATTTCTTATCAGTGTGTTTCCCAATTGATAATCAATTTTTACCAGTACTGTGTTAGAATAGCTCTCTTTGTGTCACTTTGTATATTTAAGATTGTGCAAAGTTTTCCATGCATTTTCCCAACTTTTATTCGAATGAGTGATATTTTAAAGTCAACTGGTATATTAAAAGACGACAAATCCTTTACTATGAGAAAACAAGTTCTCCCCACACTTCTTTTGAATAATTTTTGTTATAATTTGCACAGAATAATTCAAATAAATTGGTAATAATTGAAATTTGCATAATTATTTACAAATACAGGGTGACGCAAAACAAACAGAACCCATGGATTTTTTAATTGCCTTAACAAAAATGAAAAAATTTATTCAAACTGCTTGATCGTATCCAAAAGTTTCAGTAATCTACGACGTGTTGGACAAAAGTTATTCTCTTTGGAATATGGTTCTGTTTTCATATGAGTCACCCTGTAGTTGACTGTGCATAAGTCAGTTTGCATGTTGATTTCAAATACTGTGTGAATTTGTAATTCATTTGTGCACTTAAAAATGGAATCCAACTCCCACTCAAGCACATGTGCAAGAAGAATAAATTTGTCTACAGATATGATGAAAATTTGATTCCTGCTAAAGAAACTGGAATACGAAAAGGCACAATATCTGGATCTGGAATTGGAGTCGTCATGTTTATTCTGTTCAGTACTTACGGTCTTGCTTTCTGGTACTGCAGCACATTAATATTTGATGGCGAATTGAGCACTGGAAATATGTTGACTTGTTTCTTTGGAGTTCTTATTGGAGCTTTTGCTCTTGGACAAGTAATATTTCTATTGTTATTCAACTTTATTCAACATCATCATACTGAATGGTGTACCGATTATTCATACATTATCAAATGATGTGTGAGCTGTACCACTGCAAATTTTTGATTGAAAACCATATTTTTATCCTGGTTCTCAGATTTTGTAAAGCTGTTGCATATTCAAATTATTTACTTCTATAATGATATCAGATTTTATTAGTTTGACATACGTAAGTATGTTGAATGTTTAATTTCATTTGTATTATCTTTGGATGGGTAATACTGATTATATATTGTTTGAAGTTTTCAAGCTTATGGGAAAATTTATACTTATCTGGTGATATCTTTCTTAATCTATTATGTTTTTTATTTCAAGTTGAGCACACATTCAAAATTTTTGTTGATGTTTATCAAATATTTTTGCATTCTTGAACTTTGTACAACTCCCACTAACGAAAACATCATTTTTATTACTTGTTTCTACTTGATCTGATATGAAATATTTATGAAATGTTAAATCAGGTCAAGAAGGAATTTTTCTCCCTACACCAACAGTATTCCATCAAAATTTTGTCCCGTGCTTATAGCAAACATTATCTTATCGTATATACCAAATATAGCTATCTCATCTGATATATATGAAAAGTGCTTACTATTTATTTTGTATACTTTTTTACAGCCGAAAGGAGATTTTATCCTATTTTATGTTGTTATATCATTGTTTTATTAGTTTAAGATTTTTTAATATATATGCCCCTTTTTATATTTATTTATACACACAAGTTTTATTTAACACCCGAACTTCTGTTTGTGTATGATTGTATCCAAAAGATTTAGTAATCAATGTTCTCTCTAGAATAAGTACAAAATGACCTGGGTCCTGTTTTTTAGGGGGAGGGACGAGGGAGGCAACCTTCTACCTCACCAATACTTGTATTTTCCTATCTAAGCATTTCTAAGTTACATCTATTAAAATTATAGCGTTTAAGTTGACCTTACCTCACAATTTTGTTGAGTTTAATCGAATTTTTTCAAAAATTCAGAATTTTTTTTAAAATTTACTATTTGGATTTCAGGATTTGTAGGAAAAACAAACTGTTTAGTTTAAAATTTTTACTTGGTTCTCTAATATTTTCCCTATCTCTCTCTTTCTGTTTCATTCTTATATTTCGATTACTTTATAATCTTCTTTTTAAATTAAAACAAAATATCCATTCATTTTAATAACTTTTTTACAGTCTGGAAGCAACATGGAGTATTTTTCTGCTGCCACAGCTGCAGCAGGGAAAATATTTGAGATAATTGATCGCGAACCGCCGATTGATTCATTTTCAACAGAAGGTCATAAACCACAACAAGTTAGCGGTCAAATTGAGTTTAAAAATGTTGACTTCACTTATCCATCGAGACCTGATGTGCAGGTGAACATGGTTTTCAGTTTATTGTGTTTACACATTGCATACCTTTGATGGAATAACTGTGGGATTAACCTCCTTATCCCACTTTTAACTGGAAAATGTTCTATTTTGGGTTTACAAACCTAATCGAAACATTTTTGACACAATACTACTTTCTATTCATAAAAAATTCAGAATATGATTTTTTAATTTGAAAAATTATCAGAAATTCACAATGAAAACTACCAGAATTTGAATGTTTTATCTGTTTTCGTTTTGACCCCCCTCTTTTTCTTTTCATGATAGAAGTTTTTCTTCGACTCTAAATCTTTCCAGTTGATTTAACTTTGCAATCTATCATGATTATTTTCCTCAGGTGTTGAAAGGAATTTCATTCAAAGCTGAGGTTGGAAAAACCATCGCATTGTGTGGTCAAAGTGGATGTGGCAAAAGTACCTGTGTACAACTGATACAAAGATTTTATGATCCTCAGGTAATTTATTGTATTAAATCTAATTATATATAATTACAGTACTTATAAAATCAATTAGGTGGTTGTAATACACATTTGTGGCGGAATTTTTCTGTTTGTGATTTTCATGATCACAAAATATTTTCTGTATCTGTATAAATTTCTATTGTTTGCATTGTTATGTAAAATGGACGCGGAAAAATAAATATAGGATTCGTGATAAGATGAAGGATATTTTTTAATATTTTTAATTATAAGTTGCGTAACAATGTCTTTTTGTTGTTTGCTCAATTTGTCATTTTAAATATTTACTGAATTGAGCTGTTATTAACCTGTAGCATATCATCTACAGTAAATTAACTGATATTCACTGCTTGGTATCCACCTGGTTAATTGATTGTCTATACGACTATTGACTTTGTTGGGAATAGTATTCTTACGATTGTTGTAACTTGTATGCTAGGTCATATACTGAAGGTTTACATACGATGTGCTCTTAACTTTTCTGGGTAACCACTTCATTGGTATTTTAGTAATATTCAGGATTTCAAAAAATTTATACTAATATTTATAACTAATATCAGTTTCACCTTACTTTCAAATTAAAACATCAAAATCATCTCATCCCTAATCTATGCTTATGACTTATGTTATTGAATCTCAAATTTGATTCTTCATGTATTTTTGACCTTCGTCTGGGGTAAATTAAAAATATTACCAAATTATTTTAGTAGAAATGTATGGTTTTAATGAATTTATTTGATTAATTAAGTACATTACAATGACCATGAATACATACATAAAAATGGTACTGAATAACTGAGGCATTCTATTCCATTCATATGAAAATTGCTACCGGTCTTGTTACGCAAAAGTGTGTGACATTGGTAGAATGAAGTATATTATCTATGTTGTTTAATAATACAATGCGCTAGAGTCGTTAAACATCACAGATAAATCTGAGCTGTTATGTCACAGGCTTGGGCTAAGCCAGGTCATGTTAAAAATTGCCCCATACTGTCTTTATGAGCTTTATTAGTGGTATTTTACTACCTGCTGTGGTGTAATAGTGCCCTTTGCAACTAGGTCAAAGTGTTATTTTTTTACAATGACATGACTGGACAATTTGGCCTTTTTTTCACATATCTCTCCTTTTTTGTTTACCTTTCAACATTTCCTGGTATTTGAATTATTCTCTCCTTCTGTCACCTGATCTGTTTTACCACAATTACCACTACCATATATAGCCTTCATATCTTTTTAAAAGACTGCTTGTCATAGTTGTGTTTAATAATTCCTACAAAATTTTCTTTGTTCAATTACTCAATAAAATATAAATGCCACATTATAGCTACATTATTGCTTTGAAAATAAATACTGAAATCATTTCAAATTTTACAACAAATTATAGCTGCTTCTTTCTGATTTTTTCAACAAGCATGTAGCCATTGATTTCTAGTAATATGCAAGGAACCAGGTTGAACTGCTAGGCCTGCTGCTTTGGTTCCCCGCGACTTTCCTTCCCCAGCAAATCTTGTAATTTTCTTTCTCGTATTTTTTGTGTTCATTTTCTTAATTTTTATTTACTGGTTGGATAAAATAAACTTGAATTGTTATCACATATGAAGCACAATAAACTCCCTGTGTCTTCAATTTGAAAAGAGTAGTATTTCATGGAGGTCAGGTCACGTTCAGATGGATAAAATAATTCAAGATAAGTAATTTTTATATAATTTTATATTAACAGAATGGAGTGATCGAATTTGATGGTCATGATATTAGAACATTGAACACAAGATGGCTGCGTGAAAATATTGGAGTTGTGTCACAAGAACCAATTTTGTTTGATACAACCATTAGAGAAAATATCAAATATGGACGAGATGGGGTTACAGATCAAGAAGTGGAAGAAGCTGCAAAACAAGCAAATGCTTATGATTTTATCATGAAGCTTCCAAACGTAGGTTAAAATACTATTCTGGTGCTTCGAACCAAAAGTATGAGACTCGGAAAAAACAATTTGGAGATAATAAGGAAATGTATAACATTTTATTGAAATACTCTGTTAAATTTGGCTGCAAACTAATTAAAAAGCATCAATTTCTTTGTATAATTTTTTTTTAATTTAAACATTTCCCCTTTGTCTTAAAACCCTTGTAAGTTGTAATGTGAAATATGATTCTCCAACTTCAATTACTTACATACAAAGCATTGACTCTTTCAAGTTTCAATACTTCTTAGATCAGAGTATTTCCAAATTTATTAGATTGAAAGTCTGTAAAGATGTATATATTATAAGTTTTGTAGTAGCCAGTTTACATCATACCTGACACAGACCGGTAACCTGTCAAATTTACCACCCCTAGTTTAGTGAACTGAAGAAATTGAAATGATAAGTTATCCATTTTTTTTAAACTCACTGCTCAAAACTTTTTTAGTTGATGTCCTAATTTGTTCACATCCTTGCCTGAGATTACAGTTTCTTTGAACTTAGCTGGTAATACCTTTATAGTTTGAAGATTTTCTCAGAACAGTTTGCAATTATTAAAAAAGTAATATCAAAATTGCATTCAGTGGAAAACAACAATGAATTGTCTATTGTCCTATAAAATAAACTGGTGATTTACTTACAGTTGTAAATTGCTCAATTTATATTTAGAAATTCGAAACTCTAGTGGGAGAAGGAGGTGCACAAATGAGTGGTGGACAAAAACAGCGTATCGCAATTGCCCGTGCCATCGTTCGTAACCCTAAAATTATGCTGCTTGACGAGGCGACTTCTGCTCTGGATACTGAAAGCGAATCCATAGTGCAGGCTGCTTTAGAGAAGGCATCTCAAGGTATATGTTTGTTCGGCACATGCTGTATAACTAGTAAAACCTTACCTCTCAAATCTACTGCTACGAATCTCAAACAACTCAAAATACAGAGTAATATCTATAGCTATATTTTATAGGACTGGGGAATGTAGGAAAATTTATATTTGAAGTCAAATATCATCTAATAAAGTAATAGAGGTGTAATTTATTTTAATCCAGTTTTAAAAAATAGTTATTATACTTTATTAACATTCACAGGACGAACTACAATCGTTATTGCTCATCGTTTATCGACAATCCGAAACTCTGACGTTATCATTGGATTTAGTGATGGAAAGGTGATGGAACAAGGAAGCCACAATGAATTACTGAAATTAGAAGATGGAGTTTACCAAAACTTAGTCCACATGCAAACATACGGCACAGAAGATGGTAAACCAGATTGTTTTTTACAACTAATTATAATGACTATAACACTGAAATAAAACTTCGCAAAATTTTGTTCAATACATTCAATGCTCCGTGACAAGCACTTACACCAAGAAAGATTTAAACTGAAGGTTTCCATCTTATAAATATTATTGAGCAGCAAAACGAATCTGCATTTTAGAGTAATTGAATTCAAAGACGTATGATTATAATTTTAGACTCATTCTTATATCACCGCATTACAACAGTGCATCATCTAAAAATACAAATATGTATCTTGGCAACAAAAAAGCATAGGTAGGCTATACATTATATTAATCATGACCATTTTTTTTATTTTATAATTACAGTTGAAAAGAAAGAAGAGAAGGAAACCGGTAAGTTATTAAAGTATTTTATTGTCATAATCTTCCCTTTTAAGTCCGCAGGTTTTTTTATGCCGCAGGCTAGTTTATTCCAGGAATACAACTCGTTAAATAATTGCGCCACAGAGTAAAACGCTATAACTTAATCTGTTACAACTTTTTTAGTTTTTGCAGAATTAAAAATTTTATAATTGAATGCTACATTTTTACGCACCACCATACATGATTCATTTCTAGCAGTCTTTTTTTATGGTTAGCTTGCATTCATTTGGTACATATGGTTGATTGGACTATAACACATATAGAATATACAATTTGTTATCATGTGAAGTGAAACATGTCATGTACACTCTCTTTCATGCACATGTTTTTCTCACATCTAAATTATTCATGTTATACTTTCTTGGTGCTTCCTGTAGCTGAGATAGACAATTTACCATTGCAAGGTAAGACTACACGAAAGTGTTGTTATCTTTAGGTGCATGCATCATAATAAAAAATATTGTATTGGAGTGTTTTGCGTAAATTTGTTTTGATTTCCAATATTCACATGTGGAAAATGTATCCAAATATAAGGATAATGAATTACTGTTCACTTTTTGCCTCTGGCAGATAAATTTATAAGAATGAAATAATGATGTATTGTTTACTTTGCTTTAAGAAGTGTCTATAATATTCTAGCACATTCCTTTTAATTAAGTGGTGGTCGATTTCAAGCCAAGGGTTTACTTTGAGATGTATTATTCTGGTATATATTGCCATATTACAGGGTGACCCAAAAATTATAGATATCTTTAAATTCTTTAATTACCACAACAAAAATGAAGAAAATTGATTTTTCTGTTTGTGTATGATAGTACCCAAAAGTTCCAGTGATCTAGGCCTAGGGTTCTTTTCACAAAAGTTACATTTTCCTAAAATATGTTTTAAATGAGATGGGGTCTGTTTTTTTGGAGGGAGTCGCTCTAAATTGGCATGTATCATAAATCATAACTCCCATGTTTAGGGACTGTCCTATTCTAAATGGTGATTTTTAGGAGAAGTTACACTATTTTCATATTTTGTTTTGCAGACGAAATCAAGTCAGCACCAAAACGTAGAAGTACGAAACGAAAACGTGTTTTGAGTGAATCAAGTACAAAATCAGGAGGAAAAGATGAGGAAGTAGTGATGGATGAAGAAGAAGAAGAGGAAGATTTACCTGAAGTTCCCTTTAGCAGAGTTGTAGCTCTCAACAAACCAGAACTTGGATTTATTATATGTAGGATTTTAGCTTATTTGTTAGTTGTTTGCAGACAAAAATGTTACAAAAATAAATTTGGGTTAATGTGCAAAAATATATTGAATCTCATAAAAAAATCACCAAATTATACACATAGGATACACCAGCATAAATGCATAAAGAAACGATGTGTAGGTGACATGCTTAATCATTTCCGTCAGTACACAGATTTCGTCTCAATTGCATTCGCTATCAAGCATTACGTTCATATATACCAAGTTATGGGTTACACATTATTATATGGTGTGGAACAAATGAGGGACCTGGATGATTATCAACCATCATCCCAGGGCTGTGGGAGAGAATGTGCTTAACCCAGCGATGCCCCAATTATATGGTGGGAATAGTGATGGAGGTTTTTCATCTATGCCAAGTCGCCAAGATTTATTTGAGGATGTCCGGCATTTTTTAGTCTTTCAGACTGTCTTCAGCTGGGCCCATACTTTTTTACAATCTATAAGCTTCATTACCAGTCTTGCATGCCTCCATCGCACCACCCGTCTTGAAGTTTTATGTTTGTGGATTATTTTCTAATTGCATTTTTTATCATTAACATTTCTTTTTTTAATGTAGCCGGATGTTTTGCTGCGGCTGTCAATGGAGGAATTCAGCCGTGTTTTGCAATTTTGTTTTCTGGCATCCTTGGAATATTTGGAGAACCTGATAATATAGATCACCAGAAAGATCAAGTTCGTTTATATGCTCTGCTGTTTGTTGCTATTGGTGCAGCAGCATTCATCGCTAATCTGATACAGGTCAGATATTGAAAACTAATTTGGTCATGCTCCTCATGCTGTACTTTCCAGCAATCATTTTAATCTACTTGTGTCTATTTTCAGGCTGCCTCTTTCGCTAAATCTGGAGAGGAATTGACAAGTAGGTTACGTTCAAGAGGATTCCGAGCAATGCTGAGACAAGATATTGCATATTTTGATGATCATCGCAACAGTACTGGTGCATTGACTACAAGACTGGCAACAGATGCTTCACGAGTGCAAGGATGTACTGGAGTCCGAGCTGGAACTGTCATCCAAAACATATGTGCTTTAGGTATATACATTAGCATTTTAATCGAGATTTCAAATATTTGATACACAATAATGGGGGTGCAGCCAGGGAGAATTTTTGGGGTTGGCACAATCGCAACCTACGTGGGATGCAAAAAATATGGCATGGGTTTTTTGGAGGTTCGTATCAGTCATAGATTGAATACTTTGCATAAATATAAATTTTATCAACCATAAAAGTAGACTTTTTTACGAGTTATGTATTTGAGACTGTTTCAAAAACATGTTCAATATATTCATTTTAATAATTTTTACTAACTAAATACCAATATAAGCTAAAAAAATGATACAATTTGATTGATACGTCAGGTAAATTTTGTAACAATTCCTATCTCCAGGTGTCGCCCTTGGAATTGCTTTTGCTTATGGATGGCAACTAACATTGATCACATTATGTTTTGTTCCTTTCATGATCATCGCCGGCTTCATTATGATGAGATTGCTTACTGGAAAGGTAACTTACATCACAATATATAGATATAATTTGTATTATGGAATAGAGATACTGATTGTGCATGCATGCTTTGGTTCACACAAGCAGAAAATCAGCTGAAGTCTTTTGCTAATTTGTGGGTATTAGTATGTGTAACAGGTTAGGGTTAGGCCATAATTTTATTACAATTTTCCTTATTTTAGTTCTATTACGAGTTCGGGGAATGTCTTTGTTTGCCAAGTGAATATACCTCCTGCCCATAGGTTTTAGTCCCTTTACACAACTTGATGTAAAGTAGGCGAACAAAATTAGTTACCTCCATATTGGTACATACACTTCCGGAGCACCAATTTGTGAATATATTACCAAATCTGTGCCACTTTTGTTGTATTTTTAATTCATCAGTAAAACACTATGAAAAGCTTTATAATGTTTTTTAAAAAAAGAATACAGTAAATTAAAATACTGGTTTGGCCATATAAATGGTGAAATCTTTGTGTAGATCGATATTTAAAGAAACTTAATGTTGATGATAGTTTGAATATTCAAAATCTAAACAAACGACATAATTTACTCTGAAAATTTTGAACTTTAGTTATTATGAAAATAAGTTGTCCATATTACTAAACTTCAAAATTTGCATCACTCCATTTTTTTTGCAATTCTTCTAGTCTGGAACAGAATCAAAAGCTTATGAAAAAGCTGGTTCCATTGCTACGGAAGCTACATTGAACATAAGAACTGTTGCTTCTCTCACGAAAGAACAATACATGTTTGATAAATATAAGGAGGCGTTGGTATTCCCATTCAGGTATGAACTGGATTGGTTTGATTATATCTCATAATATACTACAAAAAAAACTAGTAAAGTCACTTTAGTAACAAAGTAATTGATAAGAAATAAGTTCGTCACCCCAATCAGAATGGTTTTATTTTCTTAAACTGGTATCATAGAGGAATCTGCTATTTAGTTAAATTAAATTTACTTTGTTTGGATGATCATTTTCAATATTTTTTAATTGCTGTTTTGTATTTTACAGTAAATCTCAACAAAAAGCCCTGTTCTATGGTGTATCTTTTGGATTTTCTCAATGTATTGTTTTCTTCGCATATGCTGCAACATTCAGATATGGTGCATATCTTGTTGAAGAAGGCGTCATGTCATTTGACAATGTATATAAGTAAGTGATGTTTGATTGGTAGATGCAATTTGAAATAGCAATTAATGAGCAGATGAATAAAAATATTCATAGAATGTACATTTGTTCTGAATCTTTGAACAAATTCCACCTTCACACTACAAATAGTAGACATGGAATAGGTAATCATGAAAATCATAAATCATGATAGTATGTATGTATGTAGTCTGAAGCAATTTCCAAATCTGATACAATCAAATGTCGCCAAAATCATTGGTAGGTACATGAAAAATTTAACAACTTCAATGTACTTAAGGTATCTCCAATGAAACATACTTCTCCAGTGATTTGCCAAATTGAAGCTATTAAATTTCTATACTCAGTTTCTTTGTTATTTGAATGAGATATTAGCTTAGCAAAGCTTCCCAATAGAAGCATACATTTTTAGATTATTATGATGATATCTCGCTGTCACATCAGGAATGAGGTAAAGCACATATCTCAGCATGCATAAGAGATTTCGAAAAAACGCTATTACTGTGAATATTCAAAATCAAAAAATCGTCATACTCCGAATTAGATACCAGCGAAAGATTTTATTACCACAAAACAATGTTGAATTAAAACATCTGAACGAAAATAGATGACATGATATCAATCCAAGGACATTACCCAGAAGGATGAAACTTAAAAAAAACTGAGGACAACATATATTTTTCAATTTTTGCACCCCATACCTTTTGTTAAAATATTTGTCTAATACCTTGTTTGATCAGATCAGTAAACCAGCTCAAAAACCATCCATTTTTTTGTCATTTTATTCAAAATATCTCTCGTCCCCTTGTCTTGAAATCCACGAATAATTTTAACCCAAGTCTTCTTATTAACCAGGGTACTCATGGCTGTCATCTTCGGAGCATTTGCAGTTGGACAAACTTCTTCTTTTGCACCAGATTACGCTCAAGCTAAAATATCTACTAACAGATTGTTCAAACTTCTTGATAGAGTTCCTGAAATTGACAGTTACAGTCCAGAAGGGGAGACGCCGGTAAGTATATCTTTGCATTCATTTTTCACGAATATATGGCTGGCATTTGCAAGTTTAACATTTTTAATATTGAAAAATTACCTATAGTGAGAATAATTCTCTTATAATAAGGCTTTGTTAATTTTGGATATCTTTATTTAACACATGGATGGTGGACCACTTTGTGACCCACCTTACATATTGGTAAGATTTCTTTGAGATATTTGCAAATTGATTCATCATCATTTTTTCATGTTATATTCAGGAATCATCTCGTGGAAAGACTGCTATTTACAATGCGAAGTTTAATTATCCGACTCGTCCAGATTTCCTTGTGTTAAAAGGTTTGTCTGTCGCAGTAGAACCAGGACAGACAATTGCTTTGGTTGGGCAGTCTGGATGTGGAAAATCTACTTGTATCCAACTGATTGAACGTTTTTACGACCCAACAGAAGGACAAGTGGTATGTATGCTAGAAATATTAATTTCTAATTTCCCTTCTAATCATATAGATATTGTTGCTAAGTTAAAGAATGCAATTGTGCTGATCAACACATTTAATCATTATAAATGGAGTGGTAGGCTAGCGGTTGGAGCGATATACTTTTAAGGTTACCCTTGCTCACCACTTCACCCAGGGGGCAGTGCCGAACAGGAAATATTCAAAATAAATGAAATAATATTCAAAATAAGGCAGCTCCTTTCATATCAGTGGCATCTTGTACAGATCTTTGTTCAAGCAAGGGCAATATGAATATTTGTATGAGAGGATATTCTACATGCTTTGAAGAGGGTGATCAAATTTGTGCATACACAGTTATGAAAATGACAACATTTTATATTTTTGACTACTTTATTTGTTTAAAGTTCTTCAGGTTCACACTGTATTTATATAATTCTAGCTGCTGGATGACAAAGACAATAAGTCTCTAAATATCTCGTGGTTGAGACGACAGATGGGAATCGTGTCTCAAGAACCAGTTTTGTTTGATCGATCGATTGCTGATAATATTCGATATGGAGATAACACATATGTTGCATCGATGGAGGAAGTGGTTGCAGCAGCGAAAGCAGCAAATATCCATAATTTTATTGAAACATTACCAGATGTAAGTGTAATGTGTAGTTATTTACAGGGTTACCCAGAAAATAAAACATAACCCATATCCTAATTATTTCTACAAAAATGAAAAAATTTATTTAACACTTGAACTCATGTTTGTGTATGTTTGGGTTCTTTTGTATTATTTTTTGTCAACCTGTTCTAGTTAGGTAAAATTTATGTTGTCATAGTTTTTGTTAGATGAATTTGACTGTCAGAATAAGCGAACCTGCTACTTTTTTCAAAACAAATACATTTTGGAATCTTTTAATCAAGATTATTCATTCTTATCATAACAGATATAAATCTTAGCATATTCGGTTTTATTTGTTTTTATGTGCGTTGTGATATGAAACTTGCTCTGTTTATAATATATTGTTAGGCCTAGTAGTTGATGTGTTAGACTTGAATGTTACAAGGGGGTAAACATCTCAATTTCTCGCCCCATGCTTACAACCTCGCCCAAGGTGTAATAAATTGAGTAGGCAATGATGAACCAAAAAGATTTTGGTCCTTCCAATAAATGTAACTCTTTACATATTGTTAGATATAAGAGGATGGTTCTACCAAGCCTTGTTTAAAGCTGGCATTGGCAAAATGCCGTCTGCAAGCCAAATTCAGCCCATTGGGTAATTCAATCTGGCCTGCCTGATGCATCCACAACCAAACCACACCAAATTTTGATGTTTTAGCTAAAAAAATAGCTCAATGTATTTGTTGAGATTGCGATTAAATTTAATTTTGCCACGAGGCTTATTGTTTTCCACTTTTGCTTTTGTAATAAATACTGTAGATAATGTTTATAAAATGTAACTTATTAAGAATGTTTATAAAATGTAACTTATTACGACACACCTATGTGGCCCGCCGGTTTAGCAAAAATTTTGACCCTAGATCAAAAACATTGCCGCCACCTCTGCTTTAAAGCATATGGTGTGAATATATTCTAATCTAAACTGCATTCGATATATTAATTACAGGGATACAATACATCCGTTGGAGATAAAGGAACCCAGTTATCAGGAGGACAAAAGCAAAGAGTTGCCATTGCTAGAGCTTTACTTAGAAACCCCAAAGTTCTTCTTCTGGATGAAGCTACTTCTGCTTTGGATACAGAAAGTGAAAAAGTAAGAGATTATGAAATTTTACCATCCTCTTGTCTGCACGATATACGATATAACTCAAGAATTAAGTTGAAATAGATTTCAACAAGCTTGCTACTTTTCCATCCAAAATGTATGCAAACAAACTTCTGTGGATGCCAACTATGAAACAAAAATGTGCAGTTTTCGGGCAAGAAGTATACATATGGATCATTTTATTGTTTGGATGTTTATTTTTGAGAAAAAAATCGCTCTTTAATATAATACACTTTAACACTTTTAGGCCTCTGTCACGCTTGTTACTCCGTCACGTTTGCCCACTGATCTTTTTAGCAAATTCAGTGCTCAGCTAATGCTTTAACATACTGGGGTTGAAGCATGACTTTCGTTTCCTAAAATTTGAGCAAATTTTCCTCTTGCTAATGATCAAAGGGCTATTCCACCAATCCAAGCTCAGATCATTTTTACAAAAACTACTTGATATTTTTAGATTGTGCAAGATGCTTTGGATGCAGCAAGACAAGGAAGAACATGTATTGTTATTGCTCATCGTTTATCGACTGTGAAGAATGCAGACAACATCGCTGTGGTTGAAAACGGCACCATTGTCGAATTCGGAAAACATGATGAACTGTTAGCATTGCAGGGCTCTTATTTCAGTTTGGTGAATGCGCAATTGAATGGTGCCCAGGAGACGTAGAAAACCTAAAGCAGAAATTAAGAGCTGCAAAACTGCATATGACAGTATGAGAAAAATGAGCCATACATGACAAAATGTTAAAGATATCTTGTATGATTAATGACCAATCAAACACTAAGTTTTACATTTCAAATTTTGTAAGTCAAATGTCTATGAAAACAGATTGAGATAAGCTGTACTTTTTAAGTCAAATTAGAGCTGACAATAGTCCTTGTGCCTATGTACATTATTTGACTGGAGTTTTTGTACAAGTACGTGAGCTGTAGGTTGATTGTGTTAAGTCTCATTTCGGACCTCACTTTGGCTTTTGCTATTTCACCATCCTTTATTAATTTCCTATTAATTTTCTATTGTATTCAGCATTTCCCGAATGTTACTGACCTATGGTAGTTTATACCAGCTATTTTTCATCATAATGCATTTGAAATTAATTTTCAATACCTCTCTCCTCTTGCTACTCTCTCTTTTTCTCCCATTATGATTGGTTGTGGAAACTTTGTTCCTTATTTTGTAACCGCGTTCACGACTCTTTCTCATATTCATAAACATATAATTTGAAATGTCAGGACTGAATTGCTATAAGATTTAGTCGTGAAACATTCAAATACAACAATATTTATTATCTCTTCCAAAACGCATTTAAATGCTGAATATAATTGAGTTGGTTTGCTTTATTATTTTAGTGGTCCATTTTGCTTTTTTTCTCATTGTAACAGTGTTGACAATCGTATTCGTAATTCCTTATCCAGTTAGCCTCAAAAACTTGAATTGACATAAATGCAATGCTCTTAGATTTTTTCTTTAATCTTAATTTGTTGGTACGTGTTTCTACAGTAAAATTTGTTGATATCGCTTTGTAGGTCTCAATTATTTAATTCAATCGTTCCAAGATAGTTATTGGAGCGTAATTCATTATATTGCCTTTATTTGATAATTCTTATACATCACCATATTTTTTGTAATTATTTTTCTTAGCATGAGCTATTTGCTTGTGGATTCACCCGACTGATACCATCATTTTAATAGAATTGTTAGATAAGCAATAATCTCCAATTCAGTATTAAGGTTTAATCGCCGAAATCTCAATTGTGATTCATGATCAAAATCTGGGAATCTGTCTTTTCATTCTTTCACCAAGCAGACAATTTTAACTACATTCCCATTGAAATAATCAAATTTCAGCAATTATCAAGTTTAGTACTTTTTATTTCAAGCTTAGACCCAAACACAGCATCATTGCGGCTTTTGTACATATTTCTTGTCCTGACTTGAAATTTCTGAATTCAAATCTTTCATTTTTGTAGCTGTTTTAGTGCTCTTCTACACTTTCTAGCTAGATTAAAGTCTTGTATTCACTGAGAATTACAAATGTTTGGTTAAAAATTATGAATTAAGAAAATTCTCATTAGAATCAGTGTTTTCTTATGCTGATTCAAAATTCATAACCTCAGTATTTAGTGTATATTGATGAAGCGTATTTTGTGTTTTTCAACAAAATACAGTGTAAATTCTGAAATTCTGGGTATGGTTTGTTTCATTTCATTTCGTATGCTGGTCTTAAATTCATAAACTCAGTATCTTAGCATATATTGTTAGAACGTATTTTGGGGTTTTCATTAAAAATACATTCACTTGAACTATTTCATGTTTTGTTCCTGGCTGGAGATAGGTTTTATACTGTAATTATGTAACTCCGAAACGAGAATATCGGTCAGAGACCGAAGACTTATCGATCGAAAGTTAGGGGATCTCCCAAAACAGCGCTCTTACTCCACAGTGACACCCTGTGTCCCATCGCTAATTAATTATTAACTCGCTAATTATACGACTTATGCAATGTTTCTTATGAATAATAATTACAATACTTTAATCAGGTATAGTTCATTTATTTGACAATTTTCACAACCTTGGGACAAGCGGAGCAATTGGGACACGTGGTACACGCAAGACACTTGATGTCACGTCTTCTAATAGCCCGAAATGCATATACGGGACATAACGGAAACGTAAAAACGAGCTACTTCCAGTATCAACTTAATCCACGAACAAGATAGTCATAAAATCTGCATTTTTTTATTCAGCTGACAAAGGCGTGAAACGGCGGTAAACACAATTGCTTAATTTAAGGTCACAATACATAAACTGATTGCTAAAAAAACATTGGGGGCAACCAGGAAAATCAAATACAATCAGAATGCAATAGTTCACAACACGCATGACAGTCCAATTTACGAAGAAATGTCCGACATCCCCACACGTCGAATACGTGATGTGTATGACCATAGTAAAGATTAAACGACTCCAGACAACAGGGAGAATTACTAATTTAGTGCGGTTGTAATCAATCAAAAGGGGGCGTGTAATAATAAGACTAAAATAATTGGGTACAATGCAGCGCACAATGCATGCGGCGGCAAAATATATGACAACGTGTAAACACGTAAAAGTCCGACATCTAACCCCAAAGACCTAGATTCATAGATGGATCGTTTACAACGTGGCACGAGGGGGATACGTAGTATAACTGGGGCACGTAGGGTACACGTGGGACAAGTGAGAGACGTGGAACAAATGGGACACAACATTTTTGAGATCACCGTGGACTTCGTTGGAATAGAGACTCATATGACCGTCGAGTTGTCGCTAATAACTTGTATTTATATATATTATAAATTTTCCTTATGAAAACGACGACAGTTATTCTGATAAAGTGATGCAAACCAAAAACTATTGATTGCTTTTTATGATGTTGCCTCTTGACTTTTGTTTAGATTGGAAATGCATTCGTATACTATATCTTGCGTAGGTCAGATACCCCAATGACAAATTTTAAAAACCAAAACGCAATTCAACTGACTCTCTAGGGCAGGGTCGTCCAACCCATGGCCCGCGGAAGCATTTCGAGTGGCCCGCGCTCTAGTTTTGGAGTAAAACTATTTTTCGAGTGATGTAGTATACAAAGATGTGATACAGACGATTTGTTTTTTTTTCTTCCCCGAAATGCGCTCTGCCAGCCGTTTAAACGAGCTATTAGTGCCATTTTGAATCGAAACCAACTGGGAGGAGATATCAATGAATAAAGGCGCCATAGACGATTACACACTTGGTCTTTTACTACTCTAGTATATGACGTTATCGCAAAACAATCGAAGCCATTCTCAGATTGAGAATTCGTTAAGGAATGTATATTATGCATTGTTTGGGTTACCAATGTTTTACGTTCGGAAATAAAAGAGGTGTTTTCAAAAATAGCCTGTCATGACAGACCACAACTCGCCATGTCGAAGAGTTTGAGAACTCTATAGCGGAAACTTTAATTGCAAAGGCGGGAGAATTTTCATCGTATTCACTGGCGCTAGACGAAAGCAATGGCATGAAGGTTACTTATTGCACAGCTGGCGATCTTCTTGCGGGGAGTTAATAATGATTTAGAAATTACCGCAGAGCTCACAACCATTGTCCCTATTAAGGGTACGACTAGAGCAGGGTTTCCCAAACTCTGTGCCGCGGCACACCAGTGTGCCGCCAACGTGTTGAATGCGTGCCGCGGATTTTCAGAAGCTTACTGAGTTTTTACTAGGGATGGGACGAGTCCGGCATTACAGAGATTCGACGAATCCGAGTAATAGGTCAAGGACTCGAACCGAATACTCGAATCGAACGAATCCGAGTAACAGCTCAAGGACTCGAATTGAATCCTCCGAGACCGTGACGTCACAATGTAAAAGTAGAAAAACACGTTTTTGACCATACTACGACATCGCGCGCTCACAAACATACGTCGTAGCTCTTATTCTTGGACACGTAGTGGACATAACGATCGTTTCAATATTATGTTGTTGTTGTTGTTATTGTTCTTTGACACGTTTTTAAAAAGTCGCTTTTCTCTTCGAATACTGGACCAATTGCTTTGAAATTTTCAGTGGTTAAAGATTAATTTTTTCGCTAGAAGGCTATTACTTTTATTTATTTCAAAATTTTGCGTGAATTCTATGAAATTTGATATTTCGTTTAAAATTTTGCTGTATTATTTTTCATCCATGGGAACACGGATTTTAGTCAGTGTCGTGACTGGCTGTACGTTTTGATTCTGCAAAATTCTTGCTACTGGAAATTCAGAACTTTTTTGAGGGTACCGGTAGCGTCAAAGGTACCGGTAAGGACTGATTCGCTCTGGTCTAACGTGTCCATATATTTGTGCGTAGCTCTCTTGTTTTCCTAATGGTTCCACAGATAGCTGTTGAATCAATCTAAAAAATTTTCAATTTTTTTTGTCGACTATAATATATACAAACGTAAACGTGGGTCAATGTGCACCTTGGCTGTGAACTGGATTTCCAGACCACCACCTTGCGTCAATTCTGGGCGGCTATTTAGCAATTCTTACATGTCAATATAAAAAATAGAAATCTTTTGACTACAATGCTTTCCCATGATTCCAGATATTTCTAGCCTTAAATTTATTATGTCACGTGCGCAAATGGTAGATGGATGCCACTCTCTGTATTTACAATGCTTGCAATTTAGTAAGTCATGTAAACGTTCTAAAACGCTCCATGCTTTCCATTGCCCCCTTTTTTTAGAAAAAATACTGCACGTAATAAACTCTATTTAGAAGAGATATTGATGAAATTCCCCCTTGGGTTGATTCTGCGCATGTTTCATATTCATTTACGCGAATCAAAAATTCAAAAATATTGCGTTAACACATATTTTATTGTGTACCACATTTATATATACCAAAAGGATAGATAGTTTGAAGGCGTGTGGCGCATCATTGTTATAAGCCAGTGGTTCTTAAAGTATGGGTCGCGACCCAAACATGGGTCGCGGAAGGTTTAAAAATGGGTCGCGACAAGGTCGTCAATGCAAGGGCGATCTGAGAGGAGAAGGACGAATTTTCAGCTTTCCTAATGTTTCAATTTAGCTTCTAAACTCTGGTATTTAAAAATAATGAAATATAAAATTTCATTCACGGAAAGAACTGTCTTGAGCTCATTGTTACATCACAATTCTGATATGCCAGTCACGTGTATTATTTTTATGGTATCGGTAACCATGCACGTCGCTTGTCGTTGTGTTGACCGCGTGGAATGTCGTCTTAGTGGATTAAAATAACCAAAAATGGGTGTCTATTTGGTAATGTAAATTGTAATAGACGACGCAATGAAAAAGCTCCCTTCTCGACATTAGATTATTCAATAACTAGAGAAAATGTGACTTCATCTCGAGGCACCATTTACCGCGAACGAAGCAGTGTGTGCACATTTGATGAGTAAAAAGTTGTATACGTATTGCGAGAGATACCGAAGGCCAGCTAGGATGTTGTGTTTGCGACGGACAGCGGACGCCTTTTCTGCTACAATTCGCGACAAGGCACTTGTGCGAGCGAGGATATTTGGCACTGACGGTTATCAAAACTAAGCTCGCAATCGCCTCGATACCCGTGACAACTTGCGTATTGCGTTAAGTAAAATAGAGCTGTGTATTGAAGATATATTGAAAAGGAAATTTCAGTTTTATCAATCTCACTGAGTCAATGGACTGTTTCTAATAAATAGTTGTCTAAATTTGAGTCAAACTGTACTAACATTAAAAACACATTTTGCGTTATTTAGGATTGGGTCGCGAGTATTCATAAAACTCAGATTTGGGTCGCGCTCGAAAAAGTTTAAGAACCACTGTAAGCTATCAATAATTTTTAAGTTGCGTTATATTATCTGAATATCTGTCGTCGTTTTTATTAGGAGTGTTTATAATACACACGAGTGATATTGTTACATAATATCTAACCTTGAGTTTCAACTAGTTAAGGTATGTAGTGAGATTTATAGGGGTAAAAGTACAAACATAGGCGTAAATTAGTAAAAACAGAATTGATTATAGACTCGGTAAAAACGACTTGGATTCGAATCCGAATACCGGCCCATCCCTAGTTTTTACCCTATAATCAACATGAACTTTTTCACATAGCAATCAGTAATTGGGAAAGTTTGTTAACGTACATATAAAGATTTTTATTTTATGTCCACCGATAGGTGATGTACCTATTGTGCAACGATTTTCTAAAAAGACGTTGTACGTTTAGACCACAACCCAACAATGCAGGCTGACGGTGAAGAAAATTTGAGTTCGAAAACTTTCATATTCGTTGTCAAAAATTGTCAAATAAAAATATTTGTAACCATAGTTAGACAAGTAGTCACCAATACTTAGGCGGCTACTAATTTTGAAAGGATTGCAATTTTCCTAATTCCACTTTGTTTACACAGTACTGATCGGTAATTAGTCAAAGTGGACCTAAGGAAAATTTCTGTTTCGGCACAAATTATCGTTTCTATTGAAATACTGGAACAATCCTTTTTAACCTGTCAGCAGTTGAGAAATTGGAGAGACTCTTAAAAATGATATTACGTTTATAATTTTTCACATTTTTTTCTGAACTATATATATAGATTAATTTTTCACAAATTTTGTTGTTAAACTTCGACACCATGTAGATTTCCTGTCATCAATTTCAGAGAGCAAGTGTTCAACGATCGTTAGTGTGCCACGAATTTTTCATCTCGCTGTTAGTGTGTCGAAAGCTGAAAAAGTTTGGGAACCCCTGGACTAGAGGCATTGGTCTGTTGGGAGCTGAGATGAAAAAGAACGTAAAGAAAACTGGAACATAATGCCATGTTAAGTGGCCCGCGCAATTATTAGTACACTACATGTGGCCCTTCAGCTGAAAAGGTTGGACGACCATGCTCTGGTCCTCTAGACCAGGGTGGTCCAAGGTTGTGGGCTCCGCGGGCCACAATTTTATTTTTGCATTGTTCGCGGGCCACAATAGTGCCAAGAATTGGTAAACAGTGCAATACAAAACAAACACTTTTATTGTGCAAACACATAGTTATCAGACACAGCCACTCAAGGCTAAAAGAATCCGCATTCGATTTTTAGTTTTCTATGATGCCTGTATTGTTAACCTATATTCCCGACCAAAAAGATGGGAAGCCAGATAATAATTTAGACTGCCAAGCACATCATTCAACTTCGCTAGTTGCCTCGGTTAGCCATAACACTAGTCAATTCAGTAACTCCAGAGATGTAACAATATGTCAAAAGATATTTCTGCTTAATTTTATTACGAAACAACACCAATTGCGATTTTTTAATTATTCTCCGAATGTGACGTGGCCACAGATAATGAAGCGGCGGGCCACATGTGGTCCGCGGGCCTGAGTTTGGACCACCCTGCTAGGCTATATCCAGAAGTATAACATTAGTATATACTATATATGTATATTAGTTTAATCAAAAAATCACGAATAAAATGTACAAAAATCCACAATCTTTTGCTGCAACATTGATCACATTGTCAAAAAAAGTAAAATAATAACGTTTCACATAAATGAATTTTTGCATATGAAGAAATCTCCCGTATGATGCTGATTACCTGAAAAAGTCAGCAATTTGAAGTGTGACGTCATAAATATAAGTATAAATAGCATTGTTGTAATAATAGCTATTTTCATAGGGAGCAGTTGTTATTACCAGCATTACACATGTTCGAGGAACAGCAGCACCGGCAGACACTTCCTGGTTCTTTTGGTCGGCACTGCGGGCTTGCGTTCCCCATTGATTCTGCCTGGCACGCTATTCGCTGCTTACACGCTTTAGTGATCAATTTCTGCAAAATAAATAAAGTTCAGACAATGAATTAAAAATACCACTATTTATTGCAATGCGGACTTACGACAATATGAGTTACATATAACTCTCAGGCATGTTTGCTGCATTATTTGACATCAGATTATCAGTACATGACCTTGACATTTTGTAGATTTTGACTATATTTAGCAATCACTAGTTTATTTTATCACTATATATCTATATAAGAAATACACACTGTACATACAGGACGAGGAAAATAATGCATTTCAGGGTGGAAGTGGTAAACCAGCATTGGTTATCGAGCAGCGACACCTATTAATAGTCTAACATTGGGTCATACAAGATTAAAAGTCAAAGAGAAAAAATCAAGCACTAAATAAGACTCACGAGATCTCTTGTTATTTGTCTAACTTCTGTCTGACACCCTTCGCCTGGCGCACATGGCGTTACTACTCCTCGGTCTAAGCAGTCTTTATCGCTCCTCATGTTAACGCAGGTTGCGCACGAGATTCCAGAAGATGCTTAAAAAATATAATATTAAGGAATAAAAACTTTACTCATTATTTAACAGTTCTTCAAATTTTGCTCAGCGTTATCTCTCTATACATATATATATAATATATTAACACGCAAACTTATTCTGGCATGCACGTGCTTACCCACCTTTCTTTTCTGTCATGATATGTCTCGCTTTGCTTGTTTTTAACCAATTTGAGGGTGGATTCGGCACTAATTTCGTGTCACCTGAGTCAAAAAAACAACGAGTCTCATCGAATCCGTAGTCCAATGCAAAGTTCATTATTTTTGTTCCGTTTTCTTGTCCGAGAATCGTGTCAGTGTCGATCAAAAATCGATCACCATAACCATATATTCTATACGGTAATTTCACGTCTATATCCGTTGTCTGTAAAAATACAATATGAATGAAGGTATGCTTACAAAAATCTCTCGTAGATTGACGGTGAGAGTCGTGGACCGACAAAAACGCGTCGCCAGTCGATTTCTAGAATTTTCGACGTTATTTTATGATATTTACTCAAGAGATAAAATATTCGTATACAAATTTTCAACAATATAACTGTTGATTAAGTTAATTCTATTAGGGTTATAAAAAGAAACAGAAGTAAAGGCACATACCCTGAAAGATCGTACAGAACACGGGAACAAAACTCCGATTCTTGCAAGAGCTGTTTTTTCTTCTATTTGCCTTTTACCACGAGCAGATTTTTTTGCTTGCCATCTCGCTCGTCGAAATTCTTTAGGAACACCTCCATCTGTATCTATGAGACGTTTTGCCGCGTCTACATCAAAATAAACGCTGAAGTTTTCTTCAGCAGCTGGAGGAAACTGCGATGGATACGCAGAAGATTGTACCAAAGCTGAAATTTAATTTTTAAATGTAATTCACGCAAAAGTATGAAAAAGCTATCACGGCCGGTCCAAAAATATTGGTATTTCATCAGATTTTTAATGCGCATCATATTTCATGAGAGAATCAGATGTCACGACTTATGTCAGTACAAAGTAATAACCTTTTTCGTTAAAGATAGTTTAGTTTGAAGATACATGAATATTAATCAAATTTAATCTTGTCTCCAATGCAGTAACTAGCTACAACTGTTAAAACATTTTAAGAATTGCAATTCAACAGTCACAGATGCTTGGCTCAAGTTAAATTTTGCCGTAGGGGCGTCTTATCTGTTGCGGAAGAAATAAAGCTAAATCTTTTACTAAGCGAATTTATATCAAGAAAATAAAACTGATATTACTCATATTAAATGGAAATGCCTAAAGCAGATCTTAACTCCTATCATTCACATAAAAACCTAATAATTGGATGTGGAACATGGATTAACTGTGAATAAACGACATAAACATAAATTTGGCGGTTTGATAAGATAAATTAATATATGTGCTATCAAAAATATGGAATGAATTTTAAAAAAATTTTGTTTTACATATAAAATTATACATGACAATATTGCAAGAAAACAGTCATCTACAGAAACAAACAAGAACATACAGGGTGACCCAAAAAGTAGAACCCGGCCATTTGGAACATACCCCGTAGACAGCACTTTTGTGCAAAGCGTCTTAGATTACTGAAACTTTTGGGTACAATCTTAAGTAAACGGACGTTTCTCATTCTTGTAGAGGTAATTAAGAAATTTAAGTTGATTTTTTTGGTCAACCTGTGTATATATATATATATATATATATATAGGCACAGGCATATTCATTGTTTGACGAGAAATAATATCGATGCACTGTCTATAATTGTAATGGTGGAACACGCGAAACACTTTCACTTCTTGCATTACAATCATTTTTTCTACAGCAATTTAGTAAAAAGACGATGGAAACGATGTACAAATGTCCATTTAATGTCAAAAAATTTTACACTGAAACCTGATACAACTGTAAAAAAAAATTATCTTTTGTGTTTACGAACGCGAAGTACTTATGCTGTCATCGTTATATTGATAAAGTTAAATATCAAGGCCATCACGTTGAAATGTTGTTCAAGGATTTAATCTGTGTGACTGATTTAATATTTACTGTTATCGTAAGTTGATGATATATGCCTACTTACACTGAGCTGGTGTCGATTCATCCCAAATTATCCTGACTTCTTCTGGCTCGAATGTACACGTGTTACTGAATTGCACAAAGAACGTGATTCTGCCCGACTTATCTTCAATGAGGTTGTTTTGAACTAACACGTAATCACCTTCTTTCAGATCTCTTGCAAAAGAGTTGATACAGTACGCATTCCAATACTGTAGTAAAAGAATTTGCGGTTTTTATCAGTGCCCAGTTTGAACATGATTTCTAACTATTATTCAAGTACTTAATTACTATAGAGGTGTAATTTAGTAGAAGAGATAACAACATTCAAATAGGAAATTGTTTTTAAAGTCTGTCAAGCACGAGGAATGGTTCGCTGCAAGCCGTTATTCCCAATATATGCTTGAAAATGGCATTGTAAATTATTCACATTCTTCCAAAGATTGAACAAATGCTATTGTCGGAACGGATTGTATTATGTTTGTATTATCGGATCATGCCCCGTGGTACTGATGTAATTCCGTTTATAGTAAACATCTTATCTCCATCAACCTGCCAGGCGCGGCGATTCTGAGATGCGTGTTGACAACAAGAACCAGTGACAAACTTATACTGTTAACGAATATCAACATGTCAAGTTTGTCAATCTTGGTATTTTATTCATTGCGTGAAAATGCGGCTCAATAGGAATTATTCACTGTGTTTATGATCAGATATGGCTAAGCCAATGCTACACTGACCTAAAACAATATTGTGTTGTGTTGTCACATAATTGTATTGGGCTTCACTTTTCAAAATGTTCTAATTATCATGACCATCTCTGGTCATCCTGAGATTCCTTTTACTTTAATGCAGTAACGATGCATAAAATTAATGTACATTGTAATATGAGGAATAAGCTCGGAAATTTAACCACAACAACAGCGATTCGCCAATATGAACCATATGGCAACTTTGTGCCGAATGAGAGCAAATGATAAATTATGCGAAAAAACGCTAAAAGAAAAGTTTTCAATGATATTTACCAGGGATGGCCAACCTGTTTTCGACTGAGATCGACCAAAAACTTTGTAATACTTTGCGATCGACTGGCTAATAAAGTAACGCAATAAATGGACGAGTACTACATTTTCAGCCTATCGTCGAAAAGAATCTCCAAAAGGCGGCAGAAACAAGGGGAGTCAAGGATAGGATGAAAATTCAGTACGTGTATTACCCCAAGGTCAGACCCATAAGGTTCACATTCAAAACACAAATAAATAAGTACAATAAAATTATAAATACCACAATGACAGCAAATGTTAAAACAATTATAACTGAGCGTGTCATAATGAGCGTGTGCACGTTGCTGTCATTGTCATGTCAGAGTATAGGGTTACCATATTTTTGTGACTTCAAATCGGGACGTCTCGGAAGACAACGACCCCTTAGCTGTGATTTTGTAACTTCACATTTTCCGATTTTATTACATAGGATACATTCCTACATTTGAAGCTGTCTCGGCTGTCTTTATTGACCATATTGTTATCGAAATTTCATGCGCATATTCTCTGTCCAAATATCGGGTTCAGTTCGAAGGAAGTTCAGGAAGTTCAGTTCAGATAGGAAGGAATTGACGTTAACGATACCGGTACAAATACTTCGAATTTAGACTAATTAGTATTGGTTTTACATGCGGTACGTCTGCCATCAATGGGAATCAGCGGGAAACGAACGCATTCACCTTCAGTAAGTAGGCTAGCGCTACACAGAAACAACAGTAACGAGAACATGTTTGTGTATTATGCTGGAAAAGCGGGACTTTTGGCTGACTTATCGGGACGGCGGGACAAAACGCTGAAAAGCAGGACTGTCCCGCCTAAAGCGGGACGTATGGTAAGCCTATGTCAGAGTGTTTCAAGAAACTGAATAAAACCAGCAAAAATTTTGCTCAAATACCCGGCACCATAGGACTCGAAAAATATAAAAGTAACAGTTTTCTAATAGTCTCGTGAATGTGGTTATTTGGTGGGGTTTATTGTAATCTGCGTCGACAAATTGTAATAAATATATGACAACAAAGGTCTAAAAACTAATCGTCCTACAGGCAGTCTACGCCCAGTTCTCAAAACAAAAGCAGAGAACAATTATGACGTCACGCTTGACGTAATCCAAACTTTGGAAGTTTGAGTGAAATATCTAATCTCATAAAACTCAAAGAAAATTCTCAGGGCTAATTCTATCTTTAGGTGCTAAAATTTGAAATCGGGATTTAAAGCATGTGGAATTTTTCTTCATGTCTTTTTTCATTGAGGCCAGTATTAGATAAAGTTGATGTAACATGTACCACATTGTACAGCTTTCTGAAAACATTTTATGTGATATTTCTAGAAACATACGTACCTTAAATAGCTTGGGCTTGCATGGGAGTTCTACTCTGACCGACCACCAGTATTCTGCAGGACGAATGTCGGCCAAATCAATATGACTTTTCAAACGAGTTTCAGGGTTCAAAATCGGCAAATCTGTGAATTTAAAATTATTATTCAAATTTCAAGGAAATCAGACATCAAATTTGGGTCACAGATCAAATCATGATATTTGTCAAATTTAATATATATATCATGCCTGATAAAAAGTGATTAAAATATTCATACATTTGTTGACTCGTTAATTTATTTATGGAGTGCAAATTATATATAAACATAATCGCCCAAATATAGCAGATTCCTTGAAATAAAGAAATAGGTGTGGCATTTGTATAGAAATATTTTGAATTAAATTTTTCAAATTAATGACTTCTATTAGTAGTATATTTATCAACGATTTGGTTATTACTTCTTCGTTATATGACGATATATGTCAAGTACAATTTCATTCAATTACAATGTGGCCGAATACAGTTACAATTAATTCATCACCTTTATTCAAAAACGCATAAATATATTTTTCTATGCATGGATCTACTTCTTGAGCAGTTAAGTTGAAGTCACGAATGACCTCAGATTCTCTGACAGACCCTTTCCAGCAAGCGATGCAATTTTTGATTGCATCGTTGTCTTTGTTTCCAGAAACGTAGTTTGAACAACCCTGAAGTAATGATACAGATTTACAGAATCACCAAAATCAATTCGATTCTCCTTTTAATTTATGTCAGATTTGATGCAAGTTTGAACTGTTGAAATGATAAGCACGCTAATTTAAAAAAATTGTAAACTTGGGAAAAATTACTTCTTTGTGCCTCAAGCAAACATGCGAGTGAATATAATATATGTTGCAGGCACAGTCGTTTAAGTATTTTGTTATTTAAAGAAATGCACTTTGTCGTGCAGTTTGTCGCAGCTAATAAAATTTAAATCATGCTTGTCTAGTAAATGAAGGTCACGACAATTTGAGAATTAGTGTTTGACGTTCGCAAGGTCATATTTGCCACACCCGAAGTTGTTTTTATGTATATGATTACTTATTATTTTTTTTCCATTTAATACTGCCTTATAATTTATATTTTCTATGACACAAATGGCATTTGGCCTTAGTCGATGATTGCAACACTTGTGTGATATTAAACAGATAACAAAGTCACGCAGAGAAAATTTAAATGATTATTGAAAAAATCACTATTTCATATGACTTTCGATATTTTTTTATTTTAGAAAAGTAACTGCGATTTCCCAAATATCGTGCAGTACGGTCACACTCGCAATCATTTTAACACTGCATTGGTCACTTCATTGTACAATCGCATTTTTTCTTGTAGTGTGTCAGAGAGAGCAATAGACTAAAACTTATAATTCCCTTTTTCATGCACTTTTTGAACTATTATTTCGTTACAAAAACGCTCTAATATATGTGTTTCTACTGTCATAAATTGTTTTAATAATCATGTCAAGGTATTGGTTTCTTTCACTTGAAAGTTTATTGCCAATATGCCAACCTGTTTGTGTAATCGCAGAATTCAATAGAAGTACAAAAATAGTTTGTAAACGCAATATTAAACGAATTTCACAAGATACCTGCTTCGAACATTTTTCGTACGTGCTGGCGTACCAATCTTTTATCGTCAGTGCCATTTCGATTGTTGATAAGTTGAGGCAATATGCTATTTGTCGTACCCATGTCGGCGATCTCCCTGTACATCCCCGCAACTCAAGTTTCACCGTTCCGTCGGTAACTTTAACTATTTCGTCAGATATCTGTCGGCGACGGCGACACACTTGTTGCTGGCAAGCTGTTCGTAGACGAAATAACGATTGACATTTAGCTTCGATAACCAGGCACCGATTTATTTTTAAACTATTTATGTCGGCTGATATTTATAGCTCACAAAGATCTTAAAAGTCACAGCGGATAAACGAACATGCGGTAAGATAAAATAGTAGTGCTACACTTTTTTGTCAAAACAAACCATGCTCACCTAATGTCTTTTCCTGGAAGCATAATAAAATTATCAGTAGACTCCACTTAGTTAAAAAAAATGTAGCATCCATTATTAGTTTCTCTGCAAACTTATTGCAGATTTTTTAAAATTGCAATCTTGTAGACATAAAAACGACGTTAAAAGTTAGAATAGTATTGAGCATGCGAGACGATAATCTCTACTTTCGTCTGCGAAGCTTTCTTATTTTTTGTCTGTCAGGAATATTATTTTCCGATCTGTACGTGCCTGGCTGTGCTTTCTCACTAAGTTACCATGTTGAACAACTTAGAAATTGGCGCTAGCTACAATCATGGCCTCCAGGGCAAATTGGAGTCTTAGCTATAGCATAAATTTGAAACGATGCATCAACTTTCATATGCCATCGTTGCTAACAAATCAATTACCGGTATATGAAAGTATTCCTAAATGTTTCGCTATTGGCGCTGGAAACACACTTTATATGCTTAACCAGACATCATAAACCAGGCCACAAGATAATAATATGATTGTTTCATATTTATACATATGGCCTAGAGCCATATACATTTTTAATTATTAAAATCGCTTTTATTGAATAAATTAATGAACATAATCAATCTTTCAATAAATTAGTTAAAGGTAATACACGGGAACATTATACTTTGGGGCGGATATTTCGCAAATCCGATGTCGTACTGGCGCCACTTTTTGGTTGTATTCACTCGAATAATACAGTTTAATTGCACGAAATCCTTTCCCAAATCAATTTTGTTCTATTTTTGATTTCTCGTTATAAGGCTACCAAGAGTTTTGTCGACACCTTTCTTAGTGTTTGTGGTGCGATGTTGGCGGGAACTGCGTAACTGATGCAATCTTATTGGGCCGACGTGTATTTGTTTCAAATTCAAGGAAAAGTCAATTACTTTTCTATCTGACCAAATTACACAAGAATAATGCTTGTTGATTGACTCACTCCATTAAGATTGAGAGCTACGAACATTTTTCCTCTCTACTCAAATTATCCAAAATAAATGTGGTTAAAATTCTATTGAACGAGTTATGCCGCATTTAATTAACTTGTAAACGATTATTTGTTCACACTCAGTTGTTGCTGCTTCATTGACGAAACGCGGGCAACAGTTGCAATTTTTAGGAAAGTTCTGAAGTGTCCTTGGAAACTAAGGGAGCTAGATGGTCTGTTCCCGCTTTTTATACGCCACCACTCTGCGGTGTTATCGTATCATGTAATGGCTTTTCTTTACGCAAACGTCCTGAACTTTTGAACCTATGCCATACTCGATACTATATTTATAAATTCTTCGAAGGAAATAGAAGATATCCAAAAGCATTATTTTGTTATTTATAGCATTCGTTATATAATATATATTCGCTTCGAACGTTTTATGAATAAAATAGTTCCTAAAAGATCTATATTCATCAACATATTACCGGAAGAAATAAACATATGAGCATAGCAAAAAATTAAACTTGAGACATCGAAATTAGTCAAACAAGTCATTGATCTTTTCAATTTCGTCACGATAATTTATGAAATGGTTTCAATCCTAAATATAGAACCCGGGGCTTTACAACTAAGATTTATATTATCTGTTTATTATTCACTAATACTCGTCCCTATTCACATGTGCTAGAACTTTCAGGGCGTACAAGATTTCTTTTTCAACTCCCTAATTTTTTTTATCAATGAACCATTTCAATAGATTCGGTTGTGATTGCGAGAAACTGCAAACTTTTTATTGATATTATAAACATTTTTTATCTTGCTTATTTGTCAACTAACCACTGTCAAATGTAGCAATGTTGAAACCGGAACAATTTACCCTAACAACACTAACTAAAAATTTATTGAATTTTTTCAAGTCTCCAAGCCTCACTTCTCCAACACTTACATTTCAACCTATACGTTACGTTGCACGTCACATTGAAATTTTTCACATTTCAAAAGATTAGCGATTGCAGCAACTGTTAAGAATGAAAGTCATTTTTAATTTGCACATTATTTTTTAGAAAAAAATTGATGTAATTGGTTGCAACCTTGATAAATTGAGTAAGCCGAATTTGGACAAGTGCCAAGAATTGTTTTTGACACCTCCGCAGTATGGGAAATTGTGATCTCCGATGTTTATAGAATTACGTACCGGTCGTTTCGTCTAAAAATCATGAAGGTACATTCCGTAGATTGATTTGCCTTCAAATTTTTGAATAGCGTTTCATATGCGCGTGAAGTCGAAATTTTATCTATAGGCAAAGGTCGAAATATATATGATATTATAAAACTTCAGCATCAATCGCACGTCAACATCATTTGTTTTAAAAAAATTATTAACAAGATATTTGTTCTCAAAAATGAAATGTCAAAAACTATTTCGGCACGGAACATGTATTAAATTTGCTTCTAGTGATTTAGATTAAATTTATGCTACAGCGCACTCCAAGATATTATTATTCTTTTTGCATAGCCATAGAGCATATCTCGGAAACCCGATTAGCATAATAGATAATTTCGTAATTCGAACGAAACAAGTTTAACAACGCTGCACAAAACTATCTCTCTTTCAATCCCACAGTAATACTACACAATAAATAGTCGGTTTCTCTCGCTTGCTATGTGTCTTTAATTAAGCAATTTAATGGTTAAGTGCTGTTTATATAGTGGGAGCAAAAGATATTTTTAATTGCGTCACTTTATAGAATTTTCTAGGTCGCAGTGTCCTCATGTACACATGTCTATGTAGATAAAATATATTAGAAATGTTGCTCGAAAAATCTTGTATGTGTCAAAAATTGACATTTCCATATTACGTAATGCTATTGTCGAGTCGTCTCGTCTGAAGCTGACGCAGATTGTACGCAGCTTCGTACGCACAATCTACGAATAAAACGCATGATTATATGACATAATAGCCAGATTAAGTAAGCGCACAATATTATAATCGATCATTTCCTAATTTAAATTTGTGCGCACTTTAATTATGCTGTAGGATTATAAAACTATAATAAAATTAAAATACACTGATTGCAACGGTGACAAATAAGTTTCGTTATAACACCATACTGAAATATATATTTAAAAGTTCACTTACACTTACGGAAAGCCACTTGTCAGAACCCATATTACACAAAATACATTGCAGTTGTAACGTTTATTTTTCATGTACCATTTTGAAAAATAGAACTGGATAATCCCGTTCAGTTGAGATACTGTTCGCCTTCCATTCCCACGTGGCGACAAAACTGGCTTACGATCACGCTATACGTACACAACATTAGAATATCTTGTTCTGTAAATGTATTACAAATACCTATGAAGAAAGAAGTAAAAAACAGCCTATTTATGGGAATTCAAAATTATTGTGGTTAGGGATACTGGACATATGGTAATAACTTTCGCAACTCTCCCGACTCAGTACAGTTAGGAACTCGGAAGTTCAAGCAGTCCTAATGAATTAGAATATTTTTTCTCGTTTTATCCCAGGAAAGCCGACAAAAGAACAACCTCTGGAATGTTTACTACATCCGGCAAAGTCATATTCTTACCTTGGGGCTGTGGCTCCCAATCTTTATTATTACACTCTTCCCTTTGACGTTTTTAAGCTCTTTATTCTCACGCTGAGAACTTTTTTGCGACTTTTTGTTATTTAGTAAGCATGAACACTCTTTTCTGTTTGTTGTTGTTCTTCCCCCAAATAATCAGTTTTCTCTGTGGAGAAGGATTCCTCCTGACCGTGAAACTGCCGCAGGGAGAAAACACACACCTAATTTCACAAATACCCGGTTCCCTAATATTGAGCTTGTGAAATCTTATCTTTGAACGTCCCAATTGGGTCAATATAATTATATTTATACCATGGAAGAAGAACTTCGATAAGGTTAATCACATTACATGCCGGAGCGCGACTTCCGTGGGCTGCTTATTAACCCAATTTTGGGTGAGGGAATAAATATTTAACCAAACAATTTTCATTCCAGGTGCATTGGCCTGACTCAAATATGATTATTAATCCAGAATGATATATTACAAAGGAAAATGAGATTGTCTCCTCCGTATTGCCTTGGCGTTCATTCATTTGAGCATTGCCCTGTTGTCAGGGCTGGATTAACCTAGCAATATAAGAAGGTGCTTGGAGCACCGAGAGAATGGGAGCACCACGAAAATTTCTATAGACAAATTTATAATGTTTAATAAAATATTTTAATATGATCTGACGATTTAGACCTCAATATCGGCCCTGTTCAATAATTATTTCTTTCTTAGGTATCATCCTAAACCTCTCTATAAATGTTTGAAAGCGTGAAAACTATTTCCAAAGAATATCATGTAAAATAATCATAACCTGGTCAGTATTGAATAGACTTTTCCCCGACCCTGGACCCCATAAAGATCCTCCTTGTACCTTGCGGGAGCTGACGTTTTAAAATTGGTGCACATAATTTTTCATTAAAGCTATTTGACCATGCACGTGCCTCTTGCAAGTACTGATAGTCAATTATGGCCTTGTTCGTCGCTGTGTTTGTATTGCTTTTGATTATTGCAATCAAACTGAAGCTCATTGAAAGACATTATTAGGTTTAAAAAATTTTTTTAAAAAAATTTAGAACTATTTTTTGGAAACACAATTGAAAACTGACAAATAACAAACAAAACCAATGAAACGAAGCAATGCTTACAACAATGTGTGTGCTGGTGGGCAAGGTTTTGCTTGCTCTCCAGAACTCTCCATTGTTAATTTGTATGCGTTTTGGAGTTTTCAAAATAAACTGACTATTTATATCGGTCAGAGCGAAAGAAATGGCTGATTGGCGGTGTCGGATTTACCTCTCTGCAAAGTGGGCTAAAGATCAGGGACAGCGTCATTCAATTTAGACATATTAATCATTTTAAAATCGTTTCCAAATTGTAAAGGCTTGCTTGAAAATAAACTAAAAAGAATAAAACTGACATTTGTTCAAATTTTCAATCGGGGTGATAATTCTTGTCCCGAACATTTATTGTTAAAATGGGTAAAAAATTAAATGCGATTGAATAAAAGAATTTGACTGAATTTGGATAACTCCACCTCTCTAATTTATTTAAATTAATTGAACAGTGTTTAAAATAATAATGCTATTATATTTTGACAAAGTGAAGAAATCATCTATATATATATCGCCATATATTGTAATTTATCTCAGCAGCAAAGAATCTAATAATTTCTTACTGTTTCTGATCTTTTTTATTGTAGACCCGTTAAGAAAATATATAATAATAATTTTATTTATCACAAATGTTTTATGTAGAAGTCATGCCTTCCCACTTCTCGAGACTATAGACCAGTATTATGACGGGGATTACTGGTGTCATGAAGTTTTATTCAGCTTGAGAGTTTCTTAAAGTGTTTTCCAATTCAACTTACCATCCAATCTACTTGGGTGATTAGCATACGTTAATTATCTGTAGCTAAAAATTCGTGTTTCAGGCAGTTTAAAATTTTATTTATGACGCCGCATCACATGTTTACATAAACCGTGGAGAGTTCAAACATGTTAGCAGATGGGTACAACTAAATAAAAAAATAATAATTTTATATATGGTATCGCACATTCGATGGAAAGGCAAATTTGCAACTCTACTGGACGGTAAACAACAATAATAAAAGCAGCGCAAAAGTAAACAACAACAAACGAAATATAACAAGCGTATTCCACGCCCTGGCGTTCGTACTTTAATAAAAGCAGCGCAAAAGTAAACAACAACAAACGAAATATAACAAGCGTATTCCACGCCCTGGCGTTCGTACTTCAGTTTTAATCAAAATCCATATGCTTCGTGAACTTGTACTGTGTAAGTGTAAGCAGTCTTTTTTGTGGAACCATCAACAAATATCCATTACATCTGACGTTTGTTTGACTGTTCATGTCATCCTAAGCTTCGATCAGTTTTCCGGTGTCTCCTAAATGTCGTGTCCCACTTGTACCAAGTGTCCCACTACTTGTCCTACGTATCCCACTTGCCTCAGTGTCCCATTTATCCCACTTGTACCACGTGTCCCACTTGTCCCGTGTCTCACTTCTCCCATTTGTCCCCCTAGACTAGTCGCTGATACCTCGTGCATTTTGCTGAAATCGTCGATTGTTTCGCATTAGGCTCTAGGGTTGCCACTTCTGGATGCATTTTTTTTCGATTGGAATCTCAAATCAAAAAATTTCGAATCGAATCTTTTCGAATTGCATGCGTATGTTTGCTCAAAGTCATAAAAAAGCTCAAATCTAAAAGAGAAAAACCTGAAATGGAATATGCTATATACTATAGCAAGGATGACAAGATTTTTCAGTGAATAAGCCACACTTATTTTCATCATGATAAAAAAAAAGATGTAGGTCATAGATATCACCAATAAATGCATTGATGAAAAACTTGCTGTCGCATCTTATCTGTGAGTCTTACAATACTGAGTTATTATTGTGTAGCTTTACACATGCAGTACTTGTATCAGGACTGAGGCAATTTGATGAAACTGTGGTATTTCACTTCTTGTTATATTGAATTAGGGCCGGCCTTATTACCGATTATTCATCTTCAAAATTTTAGTACAATATTTTATATTTATGCAAGCAGCATAGAGTAATACGACAAAAACATTCTAATTGCATCTGAATTACTATAAATGGGAAATGCTTGAATACGAAAAAATTAACCACGATTAAATAAATTTAATTTCGAGAAAAACAATCGTTCCACCGACTACGATTGCGAACAAAAATTACCATTAATATCAGAGACAATATTATTTGTGGCTAACAGTGTTAATATTATCGTGGACTATGTTTAATTTCGTAATTCAGAAAGTCCAAATGTGCATAATGGACGCCTCGCTGACGAGCTATAATTGGTCGACGTTGTTTCTCGATCAAACATGGTCGCTGGAGCTAAAGTAAAACGACATTCGCACAGCATGCTTGGTCTGGTATGAAATCTGGCACGTGTTGACCGGAATGTTTCACTCCCGCTTGTATTGCGCTAACAAAATTAAGAGCAAATACATACTACTTTTTTATGTAACAGCTGAAAACAGACGTATATATATGTATTATTACATTATGTCTCCCTGCTCGTTTACCGCCACTCGAGTGGAAGCCTGACAAACGCAAACAAAATAAATATATATATATTTTAGGATGAGAAACGTGATTGTCAATTAACATTGCCGGCCGATGAACTCATTCAGTAATGGTTCATTTCAAATGTACGCGAAAGATTCCACTCCGAACAAAGTTCAAACTAAATTTCAATCAAAATTACATATTATCTAGACGTGGGTAGGTGATTCTTTATCCAATCGTGCCAGGGTGTACAATAACTTAGTCGCAGCGCAGGTGTGCTGTAGAAAATTCTCATCAAAACTGTCACAAATTTTCAGCCATATACGATTCATTTAAATTCGCGCACAATAGAAACTTAGGCCATTCAGTGGAAACTGAACTCGTAGTTTGGTGGAAATTACGCCACACATCATCTCGAGTGATGCGTAAAAGAGTGTGTTGTGCTGAACTTGAAACAAATGACGGCAGATAAGTAAAAAAGTCAATCACGAAAATTCATTTTCATTTATTTCCGCCCCGTAATTTGATGTTATTTGGAGTGCGGCATAAACGTATTCGGCAGATTTAATGCCGCCGAAAATAACGATCAACAAACGTTCAATGTTTTTTTTTTTCGGTTATTCGCTTTCTTTTTCCGAATCGCGTAAATCTGATTCGAATCGATCCGATTCGTAAATCCAAAAGTGGCATCCCTATTTGGCACACATTATGGTTGGTGGGATACGTGGTACAAGTTCGACATGCGGTACAAGTGAAACAGGTTGGACAAGTGTTACAGGTGGGACACGTGGTACGAGTGAGACAAGTGGGGCACATGGGACAAGTGAGACACGACATTTTGGAGACACCCTCCAGTTTTCCATGATACACTCCATGCATAGAGTCTTCTTAGTAAATATCTGTTCAAAACTATTTCGATAAACTTCACGCCATTTGCAGTGTTGTTCTTTCTCATCAACTACACATTTAATATTTAAACATTCCGTATATGGTTTTGGTATTTCTACGATCTCAGTATCCATTAAATAATGCGTTCTACCCAACTCTACTTTAGTTACATCATTTCTGTATATTATTTGGTTAAGTAATGAATTCTCCATTTTGGAAATGATATGGAATTCCATCTTTTAACAAGAAGAGACATGATCATCTTTATGCAAAGTTATAACCCACAATTTTTTTCCCTTTTTATAAAAGCTTGCAATATCATATTTGCCAATTTTTAATCCAATTACATAAACGACGTATTTTCTATTTATCCATTTTCAAATCGAACAACTTCGGTAATGCGTTTTTCGTTACATGCTTTGTTCTTACGTTTTCTGTTAATCTAATTTTTGCATTCACATCGGCATCCTCTTCCATCCTATTTTATTTGAAGCACTATCCTTTCATTCCGTATTGATTCCTAATAAAGCAGTGAACAGGTCGCATCTCGTTTAGTAAATGACATCTACACACACGACTCTGCGTAAAACGAACCACATCGAGACCACAGAAAGTTTTGAAATAAAGGGGGCGCAAGTGCCGCGCAACCATCCAACTGCTACCAAGTTTGTAAGCAGAATTTTTAAACTTTCAGGCTGAAGCATATTTCATGATTTCGACGCTTCTTAGCGAAATGTGATTACAGATTCGGGCGTGTTCGTCTGTTTTTAATCGAAGCGTTCCAACTAGCGACGCACGAGTGCCACGCAAAATGAAGTGTCGCTATATGAAAGTGTTGAATAATAAAATGACATTAGAATATCTTGATATTGGATAAAATATTCAAATACTTTGCTTAGTCCTTACTCGTTAGGCGGTAAATGATTTGATCGAATTCGTTGGTGCACTTGATTGGTATTTAAGTTTGGTAAAAACGTTTGGGGTCCGCGATAATCTTCATCAAGAGAAAGTGGCCACAAGTTGTAACAACACTACAGAAAAATTGATATAAACGAAGAGAGATAGAGCAATTTATTGTGGGCACTTTATATACAAGATTTTAGAAAGGAAAATCGATTATCTCAGTTTGCATAAACATGTTGAGTAATATGCAACACAATAAGGGAACATAGGAACAAAAATAGTGTCTCCTCAATGAGCTGTGCAATAGAAATGGCAATGGTAAGCATTACATTGAAAAATTGTTGCATTTGTATAGTTTTAAAGTAACATTTTTCAACATAGGCAATAATGAAGTAGTATAGAATGTTTGAAAAAAAGGCAGTGGATAGGACAATTGAACCTTGAATACTTTCCCAAATTTCATTTTATCTCATGATTTTCAACATAGTCTATTGATTCAAAATGAAAATGTGTATCATAATAACAAATTGAGTTCATCCAAAATGTAATAGCTACGTGCGTATCAGTTGCTGCTTGTTTAGTGCTTCAGCTGGAGCAGAGATGCTAAACAAAGGCCAACTGTCACTGGTAAAATTGAAAAATTTGAATATGTTGTAAAATAAACATGAATTCTAGGTAACGGTAGGAATGTAAAATATTATGAAACATATGTTAGCCTTGAGAACAACAAAATTTTGAGTGTCTTGAATTTTAAATTACTTATTCGCACCTCACAAATAAAATGACATATGATTTCATACTTTCGCCCTAATATAACAACAGAATAAGTGCTCACATTCAATTTCTACAAAAAAAAATTTACCTCTGAAGAGATGCCGAACATTTGATATTTAATACGTTTGTAAACTTCAGTCTACCTGAAAGAATATTGTACATAAATAAATCAACCCATTTTTTTCGGAATTAGAGAAGAATTCTGAATGAGGTTAATTTCTGAACGCAAAGATATAACTGAAAGTGATCTATCGCTAACAAGGGATGATCTACGAATGTGAGGATTTATTTCATCATAGCCAAAGATACTTAAAGCGGAGATTATGTCTTCACTCATACTATTATTTTCTGCATTAAACTGAGAATAAATTGCAGGATTCACGTCTATTTTTCGGCTATTATCATCTGGTTCACATGGTTGGTGCGGAGACACAGAGTTTGAGCAATGACTTCGCGCACGAGTTTCAATATCAAGCGTTTCAATTGAGGGTGTTGGTGTATTTGGAAGAAACGGTGTCTGACAACGCTGAAATATTTCCAAAACACTCTGAGATCTCGATTGTTCAATGAGTTTTGGAGTTGTAGGTTTAGTCACATTAGTTGACTCAGACTCAAAAAAGCCTGAGCGAGTTTTCTGAGGAGGCAAAGGCGATATTGCAAGTGCACGACCTCGCTTTTTTCGAATAGGAACTGGTGCTGAATTTAAGTCAGGTAGAATAAGTGTTCTGCTATTTGCAGATTCATTTAATTCTGAATCAGTTTCATCTTCATTATAAAAACTTGCATATTTAAAATAATCTTCCTCTTCTGACTGCAAACCATCATTTGATCCCAGCACATCAACTCTTTTATCAATAACAGCTTTTACAGTTGGCTTTGTTAAAGTTGTTGGTTTATTCTTCTTCTCAGGAACAAGAACTGAGTTGGATTTTTTGAACATTTTAACGAGTTCCCCAGGATTCAATGTCAACCATACTCTCGATGTTTTTCGTTCAGGTGGAGTTGCATTAGCTTGATCAGGACTTTCAGGTATCTTGCTGATGTTAGCATTACCAGAAGTTTCTGGATTGTCTGGAGAAGAACTCCCTTCTGTCTCCATTGGTTTGTTAACATTGCTGAAAAATATTTAATAGTTGATGACAAAACTATGACCAACTATTATGGGAAGTAACAATAACAGCGTATGTTTATTCCATATAGGCATGGTGGCTAAAGCACTAGCCTTAAACTATAGTGGAATCGCAAGTTAAAAAAAAAATCTAAATAAGAACTTTACGTACAATATAAACAGAAATTGAGAAATTCTATCCCTCATTCAAATAAAGTCGACTAAAAACTTATTTTCAAATAATAGTCAACAAATAAGATAGAAAATGTATAAATAAAAGATAAACAATATTATGCAATATACAGGGTAACCAAGGAAAAACTAGGAACTCATAAATTTCGTAATTACTTTCACGAAAATGAAGAAAATTCCTTCATTCATTTTAACTTCTGTTTGCATCTAAAAGTTTCAGTAATCTCGGGTCTTTTGCACAAAGGTTACGGTCTCTTTAGAATATGTTCCAAATTAATTAGGTACAAGTCACCCTGCATTACTAGGCAGGCCACATTGAATCGGCCTATTTCACCAGAGCAGATAAAAGCAATGAAATTTTAATCACACAGCAAATGACTCACTTTTTCATTATTTTTGGAGCAAAGGCAGTATTGATAAAAAGATATAAAAATGCTCGAACCTTGTATCATCCTTGGCATGAGCATTATCTTTTGATTCTAAAAGATGTAATCCATCAGAAGTAGCATATAACACAGGGACTCGATAACCGCCAGGAGCTGTCTTAGTTGAACTTGTAGCATCATCGTGTGATGTTGAATCGGAATTTCCTGGAACATTTCTTCCTTGTGAACCAAGTCCTTTCCTAATATTTTTTTGTGGTTGTTGATGTTTATCTGGCTGCCGTGTCATGTACGCAGAAACCTTACCATTTTTTAACTTGTCTCTCTTCTGGCCTAAAAAATGCGTAGTAAATTGAAAATTATAATATTTGCATGTAACGAGTAACAAGATTTTCACTACAACTGAATCTTGCTATCGACATAACATATAATTAACTAAACCAGTGGTTTATAAACATTTTTGTACTGTTGCTCCCTTACAGTACTCTAAACATATCATTTTGGAATTTGACCGATTTGGGCTGTTCTTGCAACACTATTATCAAAATTATTTGTAAGATATCGCATTTAGAACAAAACTCTTTATCATAGTATCGATGCTGAGAAAAAAAAATCGCCAATTTTAACCAAATTTAATTTTCGCCCCGATTTATCTCATTCACCGACTTTGAGAATCGCTGGACTAAACAATCATTTAAAGCAAAATTTTCTACACTTTTTAGTTTTTTAATTTACAAGCTAAGTCAAACAGGTTATTTGCAATTGTTTCTAATCTTTTTGGCTCCATTAAAAAAAAGCAGTTTAAGTCATAATCAAAATAAAAATCATTAAGTACGTATTTTTGCTGACTGCTGTGCTTCAAAATTCATAGAGAATTTTTTCCAGTGCAGCAAATTAGCAAAACACAGAATCTGTACATTTTATTGCTTACTACGCCTCACCATAGCGTCATTTTGGTATATTCACCTCAAAATTGAACAGTATGTTCGTATTAATTAAACAGTATAACAGAGACATTAAAAATAAACACACCTTTTACTGTAATGGTATTCTTCAACAATTTGCGATTTCCACAGCAAAGATAAATCCGTATTCTCTTCTTATGTTCGGCAAACCAAGCCAAAGTTACCAATGGAAACATGGCGGAAAAACAAAACATCATCCACATAAAAGCAGTTTGATACGAGAATTTATTTTCTCCAATTGTTGTCGACATGATTGATGAATTATCATATAATGTAAATGAAGCTCCAAATTGTGTTGAAATGTCCATGATAAGATAAGGAAATTTGAAAACCACGAATAACAAGAGCAAAATAAGGACATATTTCGCACATCGAGCTTGTGTGACAATTTCAGATTGCTGAAGAAATAAAAAATATAATTGAATTACAGTGAGATATTCATGGTAACATTTTATTAGCTGTCAAAACCGGTTTGTAACAAGTAGTTTACTCTAGTTCATGGTTTCTCAAGCTGAGCCCGCGAGGGGGCTACAGAGCAGCTTTCCGAGGCCCACAAGCAAAGGTCTTCTGTGAGGACTTCTCAAATGACAGTCACCAATTCAAGCATTTCAAATATACAAATCATCTAAAATAACTATATTTTACCTGCACACAGTAGTCTCCGTAATTTGTTGTGTTAGAACCTCTCAGAACTCGTTTCTCTTTCTCTGAATTCCAAAATACAGCTATGAAGCATGCAATAGTGAAAAAAACCGGAAGACCGAAGCTCGTCACTAATAAAATACACCTGAATGCAAAATTGTAAAAAATTAGTTATCTGAAATATATGTGATTAATGTAAAATAATCGTCCAGTAGCAAAACCCGAAGGATAAATTATTATTCACCCCCAATTTGTCAATAAATTCATTTTAATACATAATTTTTGGTACTCCCAAAGTATGTGAACCAAGATAGAGGACACCGGAAGGTAGTATGTGTACCACGTTATGGTTAGGCTATAATTTCAGGTACAAATACTACAAAAGTCACTTGCCTAGTCCCCGGACTCGTAATAGAACTAAAATGAGAAAAATTGAAATAAAATTATGGCCTAACCCTAACCTGGTACCCATACTACGTTCCGTTATCCACCATCTTGGTTCATATACTTCTGGAGCGCCATTTGTTTGATTAAAACCAATCACACCACATTGGGTAGTACAACATTTCTTATAAATAATGAAATGAAATTCGAAGTCATGCTCATTCAGACAATCAAATAATGTTTAAGACAAGAAATTGCTCATAATTTGAATTTTGTCGTAGAGCACCTCACACGCTGCGTAGCATCATATGTACATATAGTATGACAAAATCAAAAATGAGCAATTCAAGCGAGTCACACTAATGAAATTAACAAAACACAGCGAAAAACAATGAAAAATTAAAACAACGATAGTGATTGCAATTCAATAATTTCTCCACAGCTGCAGAAAAATCAGTGAATGAAATAATGGTTCATTCGGGCATGTCATATACATATTATGTAGAAGCAAATTATTAAAAAAAAATCCAAATGAAAAAAGCAAAATTACAAAGCATGCAGAAAATGTTGGTTGATTAAGGATTACATCACCATTATTTGATATATTTACCCAAACTATGACATTTGTCCAGAAAGGCAGCAAAAATACTGAGACAAAAGAAACAAGTTCGTTACCAGAAACATTATACAAATACTAGTCTAGGTTTGTTTTTGAATCATTTTTAGCTGCTAGCTTTAAATAATCAATTTTTACAAACTTCAAGATGTTTTCCCTGCTTGTTACTGTAGATGGAAGTTTTAGAATAGAGTCAATTCAAATATGTTTGAATAACTACTGTCCCAAAGTGAATTTTAACAATGATTGAGTGTTTTTGATTTTTTTTGAATGATTCAAATTTATAATTTTTGCAATGGAAACAGAAGAACAAATATTCTTAGAATAGGAGGGAATTCAAAATTTATAGAACACAAATTCTTTATGAAAAACAAAATTGAAAAACAAAATCTCACGTGTAAGACAAGGATGTTTCTTTGGACAGCCCACATAAACATCGGTCTATGAAAGCTTTCACTGTCAATCCAACAGTTTCATTATGAAACATTATTGGTAGAGATATGATAAATGCATGAATCCATGTATATAAAACAATATAACTTGCACGATGGTAACTGCTTTCTTCTCTATGGCTTAATCCCTTGCAGACAACAAAATACCTGAAATACAGAATGGGGATAATGTTAAACAAAGAGTGGTACTGATTTGATACAGTGATCTAAAGAACTTATTCATGCATCTAATAAGTAAAATTGAATGATATAATGACTGCATAAGTCAATACACCAATAGCCCATGTCTATGCTGAATAGGGTGTCCCAAAATAAAATTTCTCTTATTGGACACGGGGTGGACATATGGATCGTTTTGTCATAATGTTGTTGTTATTCTTTTTATTACCATGTGAAAATATTGCTTTGAAAATTTCAGTGGTTATTAAGATTGTATTTTTTTCTATAGAGCTATTAACTTTTATTATCCGTGGGATCTGATATTTACTTTCAAATGTGCTGTATAACTTTTAGCTATTGAAACACGTTTTTTATGATACCGTGATCGTGATGGCTGTCTTCCACAACTTTATGACATTGTTACGGCCAGTAGTCTACTGTGACAGTTTGCATATCCGTACTATGGCGTTTTAGACTCTGTGTCCATATATTCGCATCGCTCTCTTGTTTAAATTAAAATAACTTGATTGTGACATCTATCGGAGTCGGAGCCAAATAGATTCTCTGACTACGAGTATACAGTCAAAAAATTCATCACAATTGTTGAAATATTTCACTTTGCTACCCAAAATTAATTAAACCTATCTTCATTTGATTGATAACCAAATTCCGAATTCTTAATCATATATCAGGCCTAGTGAATTCTTTGTTTTAGGAATAATCTAGTAGTTTCATTTGAAACTTAGTCATATCGAGCATTTGACTTATGATAACCATAAAAAAGGTTTATTCAACTTCTGAAATTGTAATAGTAAAACAAAATCAAACTGTACTCATAACTATCTTCATTACCAAATCCCATGAATGAATGAATATAGAATGATTTGTGCGAAATTCTCTGTTAACATGGCATTTTTGACAATTTTGAAGACATTTCGCTTTTCATATACAAAAATATTATTTCAAAGTGCATTCAGAATAGTGACCATAATCGTTCGCTGTTACACATTCCTTTTAATTAAACATGAAGCAATCAATAGAGAAATATTTGATTCAGAAATATTATGAAAACACAAGCGAAGCTTAGAATAGAGAATAAACAAATATCTGAGAAAGGACCTATGTGATCGGTCATCATGATTTTTAATAAGATCAAAGAAAATATAATATGATACTACATGATGATATAAATTCATTCCATTGTGTGAACAGTCGATAGCATAAAAGCGTACGTAACATCTCATTAGTTCGAGAGAAGTGTGAATGCACAGAGTACACACACTTGTCATTGTTTTTCCAACCTATGCTGTACATAGGAAAGAAGCACTTAATAAACTACAAGTGTTTGGACAGAGCTGATTTTACAATTTCAAGTGGATTCTAATCCAATCATGCAAATCCAACTTCTAAAAACGAAAAATATTCACAGAACAGCTGTTTGAATAAAACTACACCTCTTTCACAATGTATTGCCTGCTGTGATTTTATCAGTTTATAAAAAGATAAAATGGCATCTACATAACCTATGTTTCAAAAAGCTATACCCAATTTCTTATACACAACTAAGATACATAACCAATTTTGCTCTGGTTCTAGTTTCAGAGATCAAATTGAGTGACATTTGATGCAACTTAGATATAGGGTGACCCAAAAAACTGAACCATGTCATTTGGGCATATTCTTGTGACAACATAATGACTTTTGAGCACAATGTCCTAATGTTATGGAACCCGTAAAAAGGTTGACTATTATTTATGGAGCCCCACAATAAATTTATAAAAATAAAACATTGGTACTTACCGATTATTGATGTTAAATTAAAACTGCTTTATTCAATGACCTTATGCATTCGCTGCTTTGTATTTAAAATATATTTTATTAATGTCATTAGGCCTATCGTTTTCCTAGACATTTACAAAATAAGACGGGTCAGAATTTTAACATGTAAACGAATAGCTCGCGTAACACCCAGGTTTCTCTCAAAGGAGACCTTGGGCTCCGTATGAAGCAATTTCAGAACCTATGGTATGTCCTAGAAATAAACTTTTTTGACCGAGGGCTAGGTATGACTCAAACAGTGTTGAAAGTGGCCGGACAACTAAATTCCCAAAAGTTGGAAAATCCATTCAATTTATTCAACAATATAAATTCTATTTTCAGAAGTCTTGAATATTAAATTCTAAATCGCAGAATAAAGATCAAGAACATCATAGAAAAACAAATATTAGACCGGAGGTTAGTTGTTAGCAAAACAATTGCTGTCCTCAATATTCGCATGTGGGCAGTACGAAAGTTAATGTGACTTGTACTATTAGCGCAAAATGCACTTTCAACATTCATTTCAGCATGAGAAACGTACACAGTAACAGTTTCGCCGATAGCACACGCCACGAGTGCGAGTCCTTCGCATAAAATATTGCGAACCGGTAGAGAATTTTTGTCCATTTTATCACAGCTATTTCTAGACAATTTTTTATTACTGCAATTAAACTACAACTCATAAGAAGGCAAAATGATGATTGACTTATTTGAATCATACTCAAATTTCGGAATCAAGACCAAAAACTAACGAACAGCATTCAAAATCGCGAAAACGAGGTATTGTTCAAAACCACGACTGAAAATCTGTCCGAGTGACAAGAGTGTCTGAGCGGATGCGTAAGGGTCTATTGTTAGGTCACTTTTGCATCTTGCTGATTGGCCAATGTTACGAACAGTCGATGTTCGGGGAAACATCCCTTGGAAAAAATTCGCGATTTTTTCATGTTATTGTGGGCCAGATGAAAGGAAGCCACGGGCTCCAGTTTGGTGAAACATGTCCTAGATCGGGGGTTCTCAAACTTTTGGTGTTGCGGAGTCCTTGAAAGATTGAATAATATTCGCGGAGCCCCAAATTAAATGTAAAAATTGTTACTTTCAGATTAATATTCCTGAGCAAGGTAAAAGAACTTTACTTATTTTAAATGCTGAACCTTTTTCAATAGGGTTAACACAAGTCATAAATAAATCTAAATTTTATACTAAAGCTGTAAATTTGACACTTGACGAACATATTAATAAATTAGAGGTCGAATCTTTCTCTTTTGACATTTTTGGAAGACGACATAAAAGGCCGCTAATAACGTGCGCGATTTCATTTTGTTACAATACGATTTTTTTCGTCAGCATGGCGTGTTTTAAACATCTTTACGCCGGTGTTTATTCTCCCTTAATCAAAAATTTCCCTCGGCATATACATGTATTATTACACAATGACGACGTTAATTGCTTTTTTGTTCTCGTGGGGAATTATGAGTTCAATGTGAAAAACATGTTACCATATTATAGTCATCGGCGACGAAATGCTAAAAATAATAATTAGTAACTGCGGAATTGAAACACAGTCAATTGTGCGCGCGATGTACCTTTTTTCCCATTCTGAAACTACCGACGGAGCCGCACGCAATCAATTGTGCGCGCGATCCGCGATGTACCTTTTTTCATTCTGAAACTATCGACGGAGCCAAATGCAATAAAATAAATTTCAATTGTTCGTATTTTGCCCAGACATTGCGATTTTTCAAACGGCGATATCTTGCTTAAAAATAATCTCAAGTGCGAAAGAACAAATCAAGTTTGACAAATCCTGGTCGCAAGACAGGTCGCAAAAATATGACTCCAATTTATTTATAGTTGGCAGTTTATCACATATTTTATGTTATTTCAAAATAGTATTCTTTCATTTCAGTAATTCTAATAGTAATCTCGAATCAACGATGAGCACAAATACATTATAACGACGAGACACTTTAAATGTTCGCATCGGTCATGGATTGAATATTTTACGCAACAGAAATCTCGTTATCCGTTTTTTAATCGCCAAGAATGTTGCGCGTAAATTTCCGATTCCAATTTTGAACCTCCTCCCTCTTAAGAATCCTGGCTGCGCACCTGCTTACAAATAATGTCATTTTTTAATTCCGCCTCTTTGCCATATTTTGAGGCTATATTGTTGTTAGATTTTATCAAAGCTGTTAGTGCTTCTTTGAACAGTTACAAAATTTTGAGTCAGTATTTTGAAGAGTAATCAAATAACTCGCGGAGCCCCTGGGTTCTCTCTCCCCAGGGCTCCCCACGGAGCACTTTGAGAACCTATGTCCTAGATTACTGATGCTTTTAGAGGTACAATCATATACAAACAGAAGTTACAGACAGTGTTAAATCTGGAATTAAAAGATTTGAGTTCTGAACTTTGGGTCACCCTGTACATAAATATGGTGAAGTTTCAAGCTATCACATTCCAAAGTAACAAATGCAGCGTTACTATCTATAATTGTACTGCATAATCTTATTTAATAAATGAAAACCCTATTTACACCTTATATTTGAGTTTCTGTAGATAACCGGATCTCATTCACAATATCAAATAGAGCAGAGGTATGAAATATTGGATGTTGGAAATTACATAATTTAATGTTTAGCAACTTGAGCTATTAATCAAAATAGGGGGCACAATTGACAAAGACTAGGAATATCTTTTTCTACTTTTTTAATTTCTTATTTTTTTCGAAGCCTGGCCAATTCTATTTTTTATTTTCATAACCGACAAATTTCTAACAATACAATGTCACATGAAATTTTTAAACAGAACAATCTCGTGTTTACATTTGTTAATTTTAATTAAAGAGCATTTGAGCTATAAAAAAAAATAATTTATAATAATATAATAATATTTTATAATATTAATCCAATGCAATGAAACTGTTCAAAACATTGGTAACTTCCACCAAAGAGATGTTTTTCTTGATTTTAAAAGGGAAACAAAATTCATTTCAAACTTGGATTAAAAAAAAACAGTAATTGTTTTTAATAGTTTTTCTAAAATGCGCAAAATCAACTATTCCCGTCTTTCCAGAAATAATAGGCCTTTATATGCCACTGGATAGCTATATGGAGACTTGTTCAGAGTGAAAAAGCCTTGTAAAATATCTTGAGCTGCACAGAAAACAATACCCATCTATATTCACGAAGTTGAAATACATTCTGTGCTTCAAACCTCTAATGTTATCACAATACATTTTTACCTATTGATTTGAGCAGTGAAAACCAGCAGTTATTTAAACCTGAATGAGAATCGGGTTATCTGATTAAATGCATGAAAGGAAAATACATACAAGATTGGTATTTGCTGCATTACCGTGTAATGGGATAAGGGCTCCCATTTGGGAAATTTTGATACAAAAAAAAATACTTTGGTAATTTTTACCTATCAGTTGCCATTGCAGTAATTGTTAAAAGTACCCCAATGTTTTGTAATTGTGTAAAACATCCATTGAAACCCATTAAAAAATCTCCAAACACCCAAGCTTCTTCAATTGAAAACCCTGAAACGGAATGAAAAAATTCTTTTAGTATGTGTCGATTGCTGCAATGAAATAATTCAATAACTGATTTAAAAGATGAAAAATTTAATGCGTTGAAATACACATGCAAAACTCAACTAGTGAGTTTTTCGAACATAATTTAATATGAAAGCCTTTTTTATAGAATTTGATATAAAACAAAATTTTAGGTGAATGTTACTGGCTACTCAAAGAAGTATAGAAATTAAAATACTGATTTTTCAATGAAAATGTATGTATGTTTAAAACCAAATGAAATCCTAAAAATTCTAAAATACCAAAACCGTTATCTGAATGAAATTTGACATGTGGAGACAAATGTAGTAAAATCTCTTCACCAATTTCTGTAATTTCTTTTGTTCTATGATTGATATACCAATACAGCAATATAAAAGATATTTTAGACAACTAAATCGTAAGATATTTCATTGTACAATTTCACCTGTTGCAAATGACATTGTCAACGAACATTCCAGCAAGCCAAAACTTGCCATGCTCAGAAGATAAGCATTAAAAGCATTCTTCTTTCTTTTACTTGCAACTGCACATGCAAATACAATGAGAGAATTTCCGACCAGAGATACAGCTAATAGAAGTAGAATTACTGATGTTCTGACTATCTTCAGTGTGTTATCTGATGTGTCGTCCATTGCCACATACAAACGAACAATTACAGAATTAAGATAGATAATTCTATGACATGTTTGTAGTTTTGATAACTATGGCATATGAAAAAAAAATACTAAAATTAACCACACGCATAACTTTAAGCAAATTCCACTTTTCAACTAACAAATATATGGCTAAATATAATATTTTTAGTAAATATTTGATTGACAAAAACTATTTTATTTAAAACTGTAAAACAATTACGAAACATCCAGACTTCATATAAATAGAAAACAGGTATGCATCATGCTTCAAATGAATTCAGACAGTGATCATCTACTGATCTATATTCAAATATTTGACAAAGCACTTGGTTGTGGATCTTCGCGCAAATACAGAAATAAATCAGCAGAGAGTTCGAAGTATTTATGCAAGGCAACAAATTTCTTAATCCAGTAATCATGACTGCATGATGACCTCTTGTTCAGATAGGCTACGGTACCCATTCTGCCATTATCTGATTATAGTTGGCCAAGTCTGCAGAGTTATTGCTGCAGACTGGCAGATGGTGAGACTGTGAGATGGCATGGATGGGCTGATGGGTGAAAAAGAACTGAAGAAAGAAAGCTGTAATCAAACAGCAGTTAACGTCTGAATGTGGACCATTTCGCAAAGGAGTCCAACTCGTACAGTCTGACAGTAGACGTGCCAATCCTTGACTTGACACATATTGCTGTATTGGGGCAGCTAAAAACAACCTTTAACCCAACAAGCTCTAAGCTCTGAAGTTCCTTTGACCTTCCCATCTTCAGATCTTTCCAAAGTCTTAAGAACTGAAGACTGGAAGAACAAACTCTGAAACTGGCAGCTTCTAATCTTTCTCAACTAACCATTTTTTAAGGTTTCACATTCAGACATTGCACATTGTGAATTCAAGAGATTATCTGATTGGTCATTCATTCCAGCATTCACAGAACAGCAGAAGCTTGATAACATTCTGACATTTCAGCATTCAGACCACATACAAACTGAAATTTGTGATTTGCACGATTTGACTATGGCTGTATGATGGAATGCTGTTTCAAGATTTGAAGAAGATACTAGTCTACTTCTTTACTTTGAAAGTGAATTTTATGTTGTTGGCAAATTATTGGAAAAAATTATGTTACGGTCTTACTACTTACTGAATACAGCTCAAAAGTCCATGCTTCCGAAAACGAACAATACAGTAAAACTAATCCCATACCCGACTTGGAATGGTAACCGGACGAGAGGCCGTGGTTCGCCATATGGATAAGCTGTCTTATCGGCTTTCCTCTCCCCCGGGATGAATATGTAAATCCTATCCAAAAGACCATGAAGCAGCTCGGAACAGAGGGAAACAGAAAAAATTCCGCTATAAATGTTATAATTTCGTAATTTAAATAAAATGTTAGCCAGTTCAGTAACTATCCAGGTCGGATTTTAAAGTCACGTGACACCCGATAGATCAATGGTTCCCTACATTTTTGCGCGCCCGACCCCTTTTGGATACTTTGCCGCGACCCATTCACTGAATTAAAATTAGTAAGTCCCTCAAAGAAAAGGATATTAAGCCTTGATGCGTTTCTGCAAAATAGTTATCTTGAATCAATTCAAATACTATCAATTATTAAACTACCCCGTTACACCTAAAATTATTTGAGTGCACTATCACTCCTATTTGCTGAGTATCGTATTTTCGACTATCAGGCTGATTCACAAGACGTAATTTTTCAAACTGACTTACTGGCGTTGGATTAGCCTTCGACCAGAAAATATCGGGAGTCAAAATCGGCCAGGGCAGTACCGGAAAATACGTAATTCGTACTTTCATGTTACTCATTTCATAGAAAGTTTTCTTTCTGTAGACTTTAAATTTTCAGGTTAACAATTGAATTGATATTAGAAAATGAAAACGAGGGTCCTTACTGTTGTGCAATTTACTCGCAACACACAAAAAAATGAAGAACCCACTTGGATGGAATTTTGGAACTGGTACTTCTACAAAATTCCTGTCGCAACCACAAAGTTTCTTGTCAAATAATATTCAAAATCTCAAGTGGTAAAATTAGACATTTATTGCAATGCTTCGCAACCGGGGAAGAATTCCGCGGAGCACAATGGAGGAATTTTTCTTTTTTATATATATATATTGTGAGCACTTCGCATTGAGTACATATTGTGTAGCACAAATATTAATTCATTTTTTGCGATGAAGCACTTAACTCTACAAAAAAAGGAATGCAGCCTGCGCATTAAATCGGAAAGCGGTCCATTAGAAATTCAATAAATTATATATATATATAGTATTCATAAAGAATGAGAGAGGGTTCCAAAATAGGTAAAGGGGGAAAGTTAATAAAAAATGTTTGAAATCATAAACTTATAATCAAATTAAAATGTGCCTTGTCAACAGATAAGATGTTATTGTGGAAGGAGTGTTTTTGGGATTGGTCAACTCAAAGCTATAAGAGTCTCTTCAACTTCTTAATCAACACAAACCCCCATGTAATCATTAGCAGTGGTTCCCAGTCACTGGTCCGCGGAACGGCAATAAAAGCTTTTTTGTCGATCTGCGAGAAATTTTGTTGTTTTTCAGTCGTCTCAATCGCTTTACCGAACCGGAAATAACGACGTTGTGTTTGTTTATTTTATTTTTCTTAATTTTGTTCGTCAATGTTTACATTCGGTTTGTGATAAAATAAACTACTGACTGACTGTTTATAACGCATTTTATCTTTCGCCGACATATCGCTGTGTGCGGTATTATTGACCCGACTTGGCGCCGAGTAATCACATTTTTGGCTTTTTCGGTTCCGATCGCGAAGAGTCCGTCAAATCTCGCAAGATTCAGAAAGCCAAATATCGGTCGGCACATGTATTTTTTCTGTTCTGCGTGCTTTTCCTGCTTAATATGAACATCCAATTTAAAGGTTATAAATGTTTCTGTGTTTAAACCAAAAACAGTCATAGACAGTAATCAGTATAATATTCCAGGGCTTCGCCTCGACATTCAGTAAAAGAGATACAGAGATCTTTTCCAGGTGATGCACAGCAGGATTGTGAACCTGGTGCCATGTTACAGACGACTTTGACATCTTTTTGTAAATTCATTTTGTTTGATGCGTTGATTAACTGCAGATATATTAATATGATGATTTCAGTTGACCAACAGAGCATTTGATATTTTTTGAAAAGAACGAGAAGAATAGGTAGGATTTCTTCCGGACAAAATTTGATCTATCCATTTCAAATTTTGGCCGGCGCAATATTTGTTTTCATTCATGTGAAATGTTTTCAAGTGCCCGACATTGCATTACATTTCGCAAATATATGTTATTATTTTCTATTCCACTCATTTCAATTTTTTGCCGATCCGCGAGTACATTTTATTTAATTTACGGTCCACCGGAAAGGATGGGAACCACTGTTTTAAATGTTTATAAAAAAAGTATTCATATCATTTATACATAACGTTAGTGTAAAGGCTGTCCCTGTTTATTGCGAATAAGTTTCTCAACTCGAGGAGCAAACAGCACATTGTATTTTGAGATTTCACAGTTTGACTGCAAAGCTATGGATTTCACAACAACGCAAGATCAGGGAAAATCCCCGCTGAGTTTCAATAGCACGCATTTTCCTCTGATAGTGGAGAACAAAAATAGCAACACATGAAAACTCAACTGTCATTCAAGATTGAGGTTTAGTTAGAGTCTAGCGACTTGCTTTGAGCAAACTTGCATTGTTGGGTTGGGGTTAAAAACGTATAAGAGAAGTGTGGCATATTACATCATCCATCGGTGGTCACAGAATAATAATAAATCCTTATACCAGGGTAGCCCCTACAAAATGGAACCCATACAATACGTTCCAAATAGACTGGGTTTTGTTTTTTAGGGTCATCCTATATATGTGTGGTACCGAACTACACCCATTACTGATTGCAATGTTAATTGCAGCGTTAATTATTGCGAGAAAAATCTCAGGAATTTTGTTAAAATTCGCGGCACACTTCCAAGACCTTGACGACACACTAGTGTGCTGCGGCACACAGTTTGGGAAACCCTGATCTACAGCATATACATACAGTGCGGTGACCGTACATTTGAACCCATGTGTATATCCGCGGGTTCAATCAATATGCGGGTGCTAAAACCCATGGGTTAGGTTAGTATGGGTACAAATATCCGTAAAACCAAAAAAAAATGCCATAGGTGCAATGGCATGCAGGTGCAATTGTCGTGGGTTCAAATGTACGTGGGTTCAAATGTAATGGAACCATACAGTGCATGTATATAGAATGAGTTGGCTTTGTTCGCGCATTCACCCAAATGGCCGTATTACCGACAAAAATATTTAACGACATAGTCTTTTCTATACTCTGCACCTCACGATTAAGCGTGTAGGTGTCCACGGGGTTCAGCTTTGGCGATACAGAATGTATATGTGGATATATCCCAAAACAAGAGGGTAGAATTAAACATAGAAACATTCTCAATTAAACGTTTAATTTCACACGATGATAAAATAAGGGCGCTCCAGAAGTATGTGTACCAATATGGAGGTAACTAATTTTGGTCGCCTTCTTTACATCAAGTTGTCCATGGGAAGGGGGTATATTCACTTGGCTAATACAGACAGTCCCCGAACTTGTGATGAAACTAAAATAAGAAAAATCGAAACAAAATTATGGCCTAAATCAAATTTAAATAAAAATTACATAATTACTTCATATAAATCTTCCAATTTTGGTAACGTATATAATTCTTACTGGCTTCAGTAGAAATAACTACGAATGTTATCGAATGAAGGATATGGTATTTTGAATTGAGAGTGGTGGGTGCCTGAATTAATCTCATCGTAGCGGACATCGTAATACAGACAGTACACGCGTATAAAGTCACATTAGTGACAATGAGTTTGCATTGAAAAAGCGTATATATATATATAGAAAATGCGTAGTCGCATTTGGAAATATGTATTTGCATTAGGGAGACTTTTCGGATTGCGGAAGGCTCGTGACAGAATTTGAAGTAACATCTTTTGCTTCAATCATACATTTCCTCGCTTGTTATAATTCCCGAACAGTCTTAATTACTTTAATTTTTGAATTATTAAAAAGATGCACAATCAAATTTCCCACAGCCGGTCCCGAGGATAGCTGAGTCAATAAAGGGCATAACAGGCTACATAATATGCAAATCTCTGGTCCGCATATTTTTGAGCAACGTTGGAGTAGTGCTCCAACGGACGATAGATTTGTAGCAAAATTGGATTGACAAATTCACACAACAATATATATAAATAATGCATTTGGTGTTTATTCGCCTACATGGGTTTTTCTCGTGTAAATTTAATCAAAATTACTCAGCTGAATGAAGCTCTTCTGAGTAAAAACCAAATGTTTTTCTCCGATTAAATGATAAATAAAAGAGAGGGGCAGAAAACATAAAAAAATTAGGCTAATTTTGCGGTTTTTAAAAAACCAAATCTCAAACAAAGTGATTTAGCGATGTGATTATTGTTAGCTCGTAATCAAAGTCTACGTATTATTTAAAGCTGGGAAGGGTTTCATGAAGTAATTATAGATAATATTCTCCAGTGGTGATTCCGGTGATTCTCCAGAGGTTTTGATAAAAATTGTCTTTTTAAAAAGTCTTGTTTATTTTAACTTTGGGGTCACATGCTGTAGTGTTGTTATCTATCTGGACTTTCTGTGTTGAGCACTGCCTTTTTCGCATATTTAAAGTCTCGTAAAAATACTTTGTTGGTTTTTTACCCTTCTCCGCTATTTGTACTTTCGACAAAGTTTTTAGAAAAGCTTTTTGTTGGAATAGCAGAATTTTGAGGCGATGTATTAGGACATATTTAATGTCATTATAATAACAACATTTCATCATCATTCAAAACATAGGTCTGAGATACTTCCCTCGTTATCATTTGCTTTCTTTAAAATCACAGCGCAAGCGGTACTAACGCATGTTTAACTGGTGTTTATCATTTGGATGAATTTTGAAGGTTAATTTTAGAATAAGGGATCATCCGGTATTGTTTGCGAACAGAAATTTATGTAATAAGTAAATATAACTGAGTGTACTTCTATTTAACAAAAATACATTTTCTCTAATATATTATGAAGTTGAATCATCCTTTCAATAGTATTTTCTATTACTTTGACTCATTCTTCAAGTTAATTATTGATATTTTATCACACTTTGTGCTATTGTTATTCCAAATTTAAAGAAAGTTAACGATAAGGTGATGTTATACTAAATCGAAATAGATTCGGAAATATTCGAATTGGAACTTTTCAATTCGGAATTCGCTCGAAAATAAAATATTCTAAACTTACATCCCCGGGTTGCCTAACAGTCTACACTACAGGGACATCCTACGACCTACAGCGACATGACAGCACGCGTTTTTCTAACACTTATGTTAAACGGCCAAGTCATGCATAGGTAATGCATAATCAGGGCCGGATTTAACATTTGGCCATTAAAAAACTACACACAATTTTAAATTAAATGTTTACAAATAGTCATTAACCAAAACTCTTACATTTACGCCTCAAATATTTAACGAGCATATCGGTCAACAATTCTCGTTACCACTTGGAGATTGGAATTGCTCGTATATTCTTTATCACATCTATTACAAAATCTTCGGGTGAAATCTGAAATTCCATTAAATTAGGCCATTTTGTTGCGACACCTATTTCAGCGTGCGTTTTGACTGTATAAACGACTAAGGAATATAACGCTTGGATTGACACCAATTCCAGACGTTCGCTTCTTTGGTCCAATGCATTTGAATAAAATATGACACAAAGACACAGGGGTGTGGAACTGTCGGTTTTGAGCAACCGATATGCAGTTTTAAACTTGCATGTGAGTTCGAGGGGTAAAAGGCTTTTTGCAGATATTGCAAAGTTTGTTGCATGAATAGGTAGCAAAACTACCAAACAGGTTGTCAAAGACAATCGTTACAGTCTTTTATAAATTCAGAAGAAATCAGCTATTTTTAGTTTGTAAAATGTGTTAATATCCAATCGATTACCGACCGTTTAAATCATATCTTATTGTTCAATTTTTCATATCAGTTTCAATTTTTTTTTTATTTGCACGGGATAATAATTGCAACATGGTGAACTGTTGAAGTTGCAGGCAAATAAACAAACTCGTTATATTTTGAATTTAGTGACTCATAATTTAGACACAGTTTACTTTCTCTAAAATAGCCCATTTTGTTTAAGCATTAAATGTCTGAAATCACCTCTCCAATTTACAAATAACAAACTATATTATTATTACGCTTACAAGAATAATTTTTTAGAGTTCTCAGGTGTCAGATACAATTTACAGTCTGAAATTGCAAACAATACCTACAAATTTTGTTATAAAAGTATTTTTCGAACGATCAGTTGTATACTTGGAAATATTAAAGACTCTCATTGGGAAATAGAAATATCTCATACTTGGATATAGAACAAAAGGATTTCAAATTTGAAGGAAATTAATTACTCTTCATCTGAACTTTTTATGGAATGAATGGCTGAATCATCACCTGAAGGTAATTTCAAGGTTGATGTTTTGTATTTATTGGTGAACATAATTATCTTTGCATTCAACGTTCGTTGTGCGTCTAGCAAACCACAACTGACAGAATCGCTACTGAAAAGATTGTCATTAGCAAATGTATCGAAACGGGCGTTATCGTCTTAGCCAATTTTGCATAACTATTTTCATTTTTTTTACTCTCAACCCCCCTCATAGATTTTTAGATGAGCACGCTTCAGCTCTTATAGGCGATATGACGCTAGCGCAATTCCAAATGAAAATTACAAGTTTACGGTCGTATGGGAAAAAATTTTCGAAATGAAATTCTGAAACTTTGTGAATGTGTGCCTAACAGAGCCGGATCGCGCCTTTTAGAGGCCATAACCCATAAGCAGTTCAGATTTTGGTGACCTATATATGAAAAATAATAATAATGAAACTGATGTGTTTCTATCCTGTGAACAATCGAGCTACTACTTCTACTAATAAAACTTTTCAACATTTTTTCCAAGATCTATCTAGAGGTGTTAAAGTTAAAGGCGGGGATTTCCGCGGCTCAGTTTTCGGCGATAAGACTGTCAACAAGACCGTGATCAACAAATATGATCAAGGTAATTCGAATTCTAAAAAATAATCAAAAGTGGTGTATTGTGTTCCCCTACTATTAGGTATTCAAAAATATCATTTGGTAGGGTTGTAACATTCTGGATCATTATAACTTAACTCGATCCCGACAATAATCCAACGGCATATACGCTGTAGTATTAGAAGGTTGCAATTTATTTCGCCTAATGATAACTCAGATCTTCGTGAATTTAGTTTTGGAACTTGTGCCTTTGGGGGAAAACTAGAATTAATATAGTAGGGCGGGGGAAGATAGACACACGGGGTTAGATGGACACTTTTTTTCAAATTGACCTATTGGCGACATCTTATGGGGCTTGGTTCTGCAAATGCCATTGCCGAGTTCGTTGCTAAGGAGGGAATTCGTTCTAGCCATTTCGGTTCAGCGCTTGGCGTAGTTCGTCAGTTGTGTAGCTTTCCACGTGGCTTGTGATTTTTGAATGGTGAAAAAAGGGCATTTAGTAAGGACACGTTTTTCTTGGAGGCACTATATGCTCATTTTCAGCGAAGGAACTCTGAATCGCGCGTTTGTTGGTAAGTTTATACTTACTGACAATGATTTAGGACTAACTGAGCGACTTGTGCCATCTAGCAGCTAACTATATCTTTCAGCATGTGATCATGTAAAAATGGGGGGGTTATGAGGGGGTAATAAATTTCTTGCGTTTTTCGGGCTTATATTTACTTTGACCGTTCAAACCCGTTCTTTGTGAATAAGATACCAGAAAGTCTTCTTTTTAATTTTGATATTGCTTTTACCTGTCAAAACACTTCTTGGATAATCTCAATAATCTTATGAAATTATGGGGGGTGGCCATCTTACCCTTATGTACTATCATGTTTTTCCAGATGCAAGTGTTGGATGCACGGGAAACAGAAAATCCTAAAGAATGTTGAGAAAATACCGAAGAATATCAAACAGAGGCAAATAACAAATAGAGACTACGATGTACCATCTCATGAGGTTAACACCACGACAGAGGTAGAAAGTGTCACAAGTGAACCATGCTGCACTGTGCTCTCTAACGATTTTTTCAAGTAGAACTTCACCAGGAGTTCAGTTAGTTTCTGATAAAGTCAGTAATTCTTTGAGGCAAGAAAATAGCAGAGACCTGATAGCACCAGTTTATCATTTGAATATATTTGCCTCTTCCAGTAGCCACTCAGAGAGCCAAGAGGCAAAGAAAGCCATTCAGGCAGGAATTAGAGTGTTAACAAGTGAGAATTATGTAGCCGAACTGTCAGCACTCGCAGAAACAACGCCACCTAGCTCGTTCAGGAAAACTACAGCACTCGCAGAAACGATGTCATCTAGCTTGTCTAAGAAAGTTGCAGCTCCCAGGAAGAAAAAAGAAAATAAACGTAAGAATGAGCGACATGAAAGATATTGTTACAGTAACCTCTGTGCTGTCTGCAAGGTCGAATATTTTGACGACGAAGAGGACGAGCGATGGATTCAGTGCCAGAAATGCCAAAAGTGGCTTCACGATATTTGTGCCGGGATTTATGGAAAACACATTGTGTCCTTCCAATGTGATGACTGCTCTGCTTGAAGCTTTTTTGTATAAATATTTTCATTCGAATGTAAAATTCCATGACGATAGCTTTCATGCTATCCCAGATGTTCTTTTGGTGTTATGATTAAGATTTGTGTGAAAGTATGATCAAATAAAATTTGGCTGCTTTACTAGGTGGTGTTTTATCATACTTTCGTGAACAATTATATGGGTTCACAACTTCAAAAATTTAAGGGGTAAGATGGACATAGGGGGAATTTTCGAATGCCCCAAAAAATTTTCCAAATACATTGCATATTTTGATATTCTGATAAGAAAAAGAACGCAATACTAGTATTTTGATGCGATTTTATTACATGTCCGTCATATCCGACCATATGTCCAACTTCCCCGAATTTTTTTTTCGCTTAAAAACATTTCTGCTGTTGCCATGGTTGGAGACCGGCGGACGCCGCCGAGTGGCTAAAGAGTTCAGCCCCTTATGTTTGTACTTGCAAAGTTTTAGGAATATTTGAAGAAAGGTTTTCGAAATATAGATAATTTTCAATAAGGGGGGCCATCATCCCCCGCCCTACTATATTAGATTACTACTCATACTCATCCAATACCTGATGTTTGTTTTAGCCTTGTGATAAATAGCATTGACAATACTTTTACGCTCATCAATTAAAAGCAGTGAAAACATTGTGTGAATTATATCTTCCAAAAAATAGGACAATAATTAAATATGGTCACTATTAATGAAGATTTGTATTTAAAATTGGAACAGTTTACTGTATGGTCAAAAAATAGGAACTGGAATGCTTCATGCAGAAATACAGATTCGAAATTTCGTTTCCTTTTCTGTGACATTTCATTATCGCGATGTCGTCAAGATTTATCAATACAGGTTTTAGTTGTTGAACTCAGGAAACGATCTATTTGTATCTGAATAATATCGCTGCTTATAGCATGATATATAGTATGCATTATCGTTTTGATACTGATATTCAATATTCACTACTATTTTTGACTTCCCTTTTTGAATTGGCATTCTTGATTTGATTGTGTATGACCAGTAGGGTTATTTAGTGAAGCCATGGTATTGGATGATATTTATGGCAATCTTTATTTTATTCTTCTATGCCGAGTTGTCGCGTTGGAGTGACACAAAATTTGGTGTGTTGAATATATATATAAAAAAAATCTTAAATTTTGCTCTCCAACTCCAAACCCTAGCGTATACTGCCAATATAAATGGCCTTTTTACCAACTGGATTTGAAATAAAATGCATTCATTGAGTTATTTACTTCTTTTCACAGCCTCTACAAATACGTATGGGGTCGAAGGTGAGATTCAATTGTAAGCCTAATCAATATTTTAGCACGAGTTCAATAATACATAGTGTGACACACACAAGTGTGACATAACATTTGCACCTGCACCAAGGACATTTGAACTTGCGGGCTTTACCACCCACGGATCCAAGGATGTACATATGCATCCACGTACAAGTAGAACCATGAACGATTGCACTCATATACATTTGCACTCAAGGATATTTGCATCCACGTACATTACATTTTCATAGATTACCTAATATAACAAAAGTCCATTTACTGTTTGAATCCTTTACTGTTTTGATATACATTAATCAATGCACATTTATTTAAGTAATAATTTAGTATGAGGACTACTATGCGACAGTGCTTAAATTAAATTTGAAAAAAAAATGAAATAGTTTTTGCAAGTATTAAAATAAAAATTCGGATTTACTCGCTATCCAAACAAATGAAAAACTGGCTCGGGGTTTTAGTTTAACGAAATTTTTCCGGTATTAGAGTATTCAATGGTAGCATGAATAGGTAATATTCTTACCTGTTGAAAAGTACTTCGCTGTATCGAGCATGGAATACATACGCTTAACGGGTTAGCAATGTAAATTAAAACACAATCAAAACACAATAGAGGTAATTACCCGAATATTTTATTTAACGAACGTAACTTCGTCTTTCCGCCACCCAAGTGTATACTCTGGCAGCAAAAACAACAAAATTCTAGCGGACTGGCATAAAACTGCCGTTGCGGGACCGCGGAGCAGCGGTTGGAAACCATTGCTGTGAAGTGTAAAGTAACTGCTTGTTGCTATACATTTATTTTTAATTTTCTGGCATTTCTTATTTTTAGGTCACATCAACTTGACCCCGTTTATCACAGTTTCTGAAGAAAACCCAATCAGCGCTGATTCGCGAATCTTTCGCGCCACCCTGTGTAGTAATGTTGTTGGCGATCGCGAAATTGCTGTTAAAATCTTACGCGATGGCGAGCGCGAACGACGAGAAGCGCAAATTCATTTCGCTGTTCCTCATCATGTAAATATTGTCGAGCGCTTGTTCACTGACACATTCAAGTATCACGGTCAGTCTTGTATTTACATCGCAATGGAGAAGTGCGATCCGTTGAATCTTTACGATTATATTAAGTTAGAAGTCAAGGAGAAGATCCCATTTGAAGCCAATAAATACATATCTTTCACGTTTCAAATTGCTCTGGGGTTAGATTTCCTTCACAGTCATGATGTTCTGAATCGGGATCTTAAACCGCATAATGTGTTGCTTGCTGGAAATGTGGTGAAGCTTTGCGATTTTGGCCTTTCCAAAATAATACCCAGTGGACATGAAATCACAGTTCAAAGTATGGTTCAGCCTGGGACTGATGGCTGGCGTTCGCCCGAGTTGCTCAAAGGCGCCAAGGATATTGGCAAAGGATCTGACGTATATCCTCTTGCGCTGATATTCGGCTATGTTTGGTCACACGGTAAACACGTTTTCGGCAATGACCCCCATTCATGGAATCATTACATAAAACGCAATAAAAACTTGAACCTCGATCAACTGCAAATACCAGACCGCGATCGTGGAAAGTCTTTGCTAAACAAGATGCTGAAGCAAAACCCTTCTGAACGTCCAACAACTTCGGAAATCTTGCAGCACGATGTCTTTAAACAACACGGAGCGAGTAAACCTGTATAATTTTAAATCTAATCAATAATTTTACATAAACCTATTTTTGCTTGCCGATATAATGGTTCAAAGTTCGACAATATGATTGGACAATTGTTGAAGCGATTTATCAAATATTATTATATATATTGAAAAGCGTTTTTTAATAAATAACTTTTTATACATATCTGATAATCTGGAGTGCTCAGAATGGCAGGAATTTTGTTTCACGCATATCGTGTTTTATTGTTATTTTTAATGGTTACCTCAAAAGAAACGAATCTGTTGCCATCTATGCTAGTATTACCAATACGTCCCAGGACTCTGCCGAGGAAAACAAAAACTTAACATCAGGTAAATTGATACAATTAATAGCTACATAATAGATGACCCTATATTGACCAGGGCTAGATGGATAAATATTGAGATTGATAGACTAGTATCTCACTCTTGAAAATTTCTATATTCGATGTATACAGAATCAATTGCTAAAGAGAAGAAATCATTTCTGAAGAAGACCATGCGAGCACTTTCCAACTTGAAAAGTTAGTAGAACCTATTATATTTTGTTTGTATACTACCAAGCACAAAACTTTTGCAACATTTGCAAGCGAAAAATGACCACAGTGCTGGGAGTTCTCTTAATTTGCATCACACAGACAGAGATAGTGTAACTCCTGTTTTAGCCACTGTTACTTGAGCAATTTTGAATTATATCGATGACCGCATATGAAAATATCTTACTATAGGTTCACCTGATGCACAAAAGGCTACTCCCGCAATAAAACAGGAGGCGCAAGCACTTTCCGACTATGACAAAAGTGAGTCTTGCATTTTTTAAATAGAAGATGAGGAAAGGTCGCAAGCAATCTTTCCAATATTATGGAAAAATTATCAATGACTGCATATGTAAATATCTCATTATAGGTTCACCTGATGCACAAAAGGCTACTCCTGCAACAAAAAATAAAGCACAAGCACTTTTCGACTATGACAAAAGTGAGTCTTGAATTTTTTTAACACAAATCAAGGAAATGTCGCGAGCAATCTCTCCACTATTATCGAAAAATACTGATAAAAACATCAAAGAGACACTGCCATGAAAAATACATATAAAACGATACAGTTCTCCACACTGTTGAGAAAAGAGCTAGGCAAAAAAGAATTCCACAAAGTGAAAGTTATTGTGAAGAATTTCAGAATAAAATTGCATATTGGAAGCAGAAATCAATATCGTGTATGATAATAAAAACTATCGACTGTAGACGACGGGGTTTTTAATGCGAAAATAAAACATACAGATTAGAAAAACTAAAGCGTAAGAAATTCCCAAATGAGAAGGTCTCCGTTATAACACCGCTCATCAAGAAAAAGACTTTTTCAATGGATACTAATTTTTCTGTTGCGTGAAATATTCAAACCAGGATCGATGTGAGCATTCAATGCGTCTTGCAATTTTAGTTTAATTGTGTTTAATGTAACACACGGTTGTGTCGAATTGCGATAAAATAAAGGTATTGTTACTCTAAAACTGATTCCTGGTAAACTGTCGGATTATATTTAATTTTGATTTGATCCTGCGATTTTGTCAAATTCGAACCGTTCCAGCAAAACTGGTTGCCACTTATATATATATATTTGAGATACCGCCTTTGGAAAAATTCCAAGATCCGCGATAAAGTCCCGAATAGTACAATTTATTCCAGTACGATAAAACTGATTATTATACTCTTTAGACTAGAGTCTATTCTATATACTGGTTTATATTCCAGAAAAATCGAGTGCGGCCCGGCGGCAATTCAGGAATATATAAGTGACTATGGTATAGTTTCCATAGCCACGAATCATACATGGTGTACGCCTACGGAAACTTTGGCGATTAACAGTTTTCGATAAAATCCCAAATAGTACAATTTATTTCAGTACGAGGAAACACTGACTTCGATATAATTTTCAAAGTCACGGACCGACCATACATAATGTGCGCCTACGGAAATTTTGGTGATTCGGGAACTTGTGGACGTTTCGTTTCATTTTTGGTATTTTCTAAGACCGATTTTAGTTGCGCATTACTTTTTTTATGTTAAGTCAATAATTTAGGTTACGGATTCACGACATCATAAATATCCGCTCCACGAAGTCAGTAATTTGGCGGTTAAATGACAAACGGTGTATTAAGGAGGTCCAAAGTCGACGCAAGCGATGGAACTCGGAGTGAAGCAATTTGTACTGTGAATTCACTCATTAATAGTTGTCTTTAACATCTGCTGCCAATGTGAAAGCACAATTCAGCCGAATATATAAAGAAATAAACTTCCGTGTCCAGCGTTGCGTAAGAAATAATACTAGTAAAAACAGAGTGGGCGAGGAAACTTCATGATGTCGATCGCTTTTAAAAAATACCATCAACGATTATGACAAACGTTAAAATTAAACGTTAAAACGCCCCGTTGTCACCGCCATCTCATCTTCTATTAATTTCTAAAAGGAGTTATACATTAAAAATATTCATTTTTCGACTATTCGGTATTCGTTGAAAATATTCGAATTATTCGATTCGAAAAAATATTCGATTTTGCCCATCCCTAGTTCCGACTGGCAGTCGCAGCCAGTAACGATCTAAACGTGTTATGTTAAAATGAAAGCTCTCTAAAGTAAACTTAATATTAACACATATTCATGTTCTTATTATCAAACTATATAAGCAACAGTTACTCCTGTGATATGTGTTCTAGGTTATGTTTAGGCCATAATTGTATTCCGTTTTTCCTTATTCTAGTTCTATCACAAGTTCGGAGACTGTGTGTGTTAGCCAACTGAATATCCCCCTACTCATAGGTTTCAGTCCTTTTACACAAATTGATGTAAAATATCCATCATATAGAACATTTTTCATTTTTTTCGAACTATGTACAGTATACTATTTTTACCAAGGTTTGTTACTCATCTTTTACAATTTAGGCTACATATATCACCACCCTCTTACTTATTGTTAACCCACAATCATAGGTTCATTATCAACGTATATAAGTAACAAACTGTAGCTATATCCGTGTTTCATTTACTTTTAGACGAAGATTACGAAATTAGCTTTCGGAAAGGAGACATTTTCACAGATGTTGAATATACAGATTACGATTGTTGGCTTGGTACCTGCAACGGGCAACGGGGATTAATTCCTTCGAATTACGTAAAGTTGATGCTAACAAAGTAACTTCTCTCCTTATAAATATTGTTTGACGGACGGTTGGTTTATTTCATGGCTTATATTTGCCTTATAATGTACATGTGAAATTGTCCAATTTTAAAAAACCATATGTTGAAACCCATAACCGTAACACGGGTAGAAGCATAGGTTATTATTTATCAACATTCCTCTTGTAGAGTGTACATTTCTTATGTCTTATCTCTGTGGAGTACATTTCATAAGGTACTTCCGTAGTATGTGAATCAAGATGGCGGACACCGGAAAGTAGTATGTGTACCAGTGCTATTGTGCTTAGAACCCTGAAAGCTGAATCACGATTTGGAAAGATTTATACACCAAATTCCCATAGTAGAGGGGGTTTACCACCTCCTGATTTCACAAAAATCCAAATAAGTCACAAAACACGATGCGAAAGCTGGATATTGGAGCATCAAACTTGAACCTAGTCCTAAAAAATGAACAACATTTAGAACAATATGTGGAAGGTTTTCCTTCGTTCGCTTACCATTTGTTTCAGAAAAGAATGGATGTAATAATTGAACAATGTGTAAGATGTGTTGAAATATCTGATGATACTGTTATTCATGACTCAACTGAGGCCGAACATGACTAACGCTGCTTGCATTTCACGAAAGTGGCATGGCACGAAAAGACAAACGTAAGTTCATTTTTGGAAGAAACTACACTGACAAAAGAATTTTTTTAGACCCTAAAAAATCAAAAGACATTATGAAATTGCAGACTGCTTAAGATAAACACGACCTACAAAAATCCATTGAAATGGCAACATTTTTGGCATTTTATATGCCTTGCCAAGTTTATCTAAGAAATCTACAATACTCGAAGATACGTTAAAAAAGAATATTACAATACTATGATCCAAAATCGTCAGTAAATTTAGACGTGGATTGGTCCACAGAAGACTTAGAACATGACATGTTATACATTTACTTGTGTAGGCACGGAGCTATGAAATTTGCTAGCAAATACTCAGTATAATTACAGTAGCCTAATATTGAGGTAAAATGGAAAAGAAATGATACTTATAGATACACTGTCAAGGTTGCCAAACTCTGAGTAAAGCGCTGACATTGATAGTCGAGTATAGAGTATCATATGCGAATCTTCAAATGTGTAAGTTGATATGTTGAATTTTTTATTTAGTTCAAGTTCAGATCCTAGAAGTAACTTCGTGATCCTGTTTTAAAATCTCTTATGCCACATATTATATGAAGGCTGACCTGAGGATATATATTCTGTTTTCTTGCATTGTGTTGTCTGGTACTTGTCGCTTTATTGTATGCTTGTCGTTTTGTTTAAAGTATTTGGTTGTGTTGAGATTGTTTATTAATAAATAAAATAAAATAGCATAACTTGAAGTGAACATTGAGAAGAAACTTGACGTCAGACCATATTGGAAGATATTCTGAACTCGGATATTTATTTCATAGACTGCCGGTACGCTATCTCAAAGGTTGGACTGAATACCAAAATGGTTTGGCTGATACATAGAACAGTTCACACCTAACCATGTTGTTTTAGAGCTCAAGTACGAGAAGTTGACATGCTTATTTATTGCACGTCACGAATATTTGATTAATTATCCTATAAGATTTGACATATATACACTCTTCTTTGTTTTAATTCTTATACTGTCGTGCTTTCTATAAATTTCTAGTGGTTTCCTAATTAATGAATTTCATTTGACCCCAATGTTTACGAGTCTGGTGCGAGTCTACTGGCGATGTTTTCAGAAATGCCGAACAGAACTCATGAAAACATATTGAATCGTTTGCAGTGCGTTTGCGTAAATTACCTCATACATGTGATTTTACTGATGCTGCCCGTGATATAAAGAACGATTTATTTCCGGGGTTTGTGATTCTAGAATTCGCCCTAAAGCTCTACAACAGCGTGTCTGATAAGTTTAATGCTGCTTAGTGTTTTGGTGAAAAGTACCATACCACGAATGTGTGCCGATTGAAGAGAAAATATCCAGGAAAAACAGTATCAAAGTATTTGACCACTTCAAGTCTGGTAGTCTCATCTTTTATGGGAATACCTTTTGATTACTCTACAACTCCTCGGGAGACAAAATTACCATTGAGTCATTTGATTTATACATACATTATGAAACACAAAACACACAACAACCTGCTAATGCCTAATATCTGTCTTAAGTATAAAAAGGTAAACTTACTTAGTGACTGACTTTCAACGGTACGATATTGATTTTTTACCAAAGCCCACAAGTTTTAGAGATTCCCAGTTAGCCGAAAAAAGCTCGTTTACTTGTGATCACTTAATCTGTCCATAAATTATTATGTTTATAAAACCGGCCTGTCGATTTTTTTCGGATTGATTTTGCCAAATCTGTCGGTAGGGCTGAGATACAAATAAGGACTTGGCCTGGCTGAGAAAACGTGCCGTATAGTAACAGACGGCATCAACTCAGATGTGCGGCACGGCGCGGCGGTGTGGCTCAATGGCGCGGCAGTGTGGCTCAACGGGCTCAGCGTCAGGAATACGCTCCCCACCGCACCTCTAATTACTCTGCGTGGGTTCGCAGGTTCGAATCCCATGCAGGGATGGTTATGTGCGAGAGGATTGCTGGACTCCTCGCCGTCGTTGGGGGTTCACGTAACCGCTGGTCGGTTACGGCTTCCTCCACCACCAAATCCATGTTTCCGAAAATAAACAAAAAAAAAATATATAACTAATCCCATACCCGACTTGGAATGGTAACCGGACGAGAGGCCGTGGTTCGCCATATGGATAAGCCGTCTTATCGGCTTTCCTCTCCCCCGGGATAAATATGTAAATCCTATCCTATCCTATGTGAATCCACTTCTTATCTGTAAACTGCCGTGGTCCCGTTTTGTAGCTGCAGCCAACCGCCAATTCGAGTTCATAATAAATACAAACGATCTTGATCCTATAACCCTTTAATACTTTCGTGCAAATAATTGTAGTAAGTATTTATTTTGATAAATTACAATCTGATAATCCCATTGAACTCTACGATGCAATCTTGATTGAATGGATAAACATTGCGCATTATAATTGGAAATGACATTTCCCTTTTGACCCTCGTAAGAGTGGTTTCGCGAGTTGGCACCTGTAAAGTGGGGTATTTATTTCGAACCATAGTTCTGATTCATAGCATTCAACATTGTGTTTTTTAAAAGTACCGGTGCAGAATTTTAGCCCAGTTTATCACAGCTATTTCTACACTAATTTTTGATTACTGCAATTAAACTGAAACCCCTAAGAAGACAAAGTGTTCATTGAATTATTTGATATATATTCAAATATGCGAAACACGACTGAAAACCAACGAATAGAATTCAAAAACGCGAAAACGAGACACGAGTTAATGTTTAGGACCACGCTTGGAAATCTGTCTGAGCAACGATTAACATACCTGAGCGAGAAAACTATCTGAGCGGATGCGAAACACGTCTCTTTTTGCCACGAAGTAAACGAGGAAGCCGATATAGTTTGTGTTTTGTAATATTTATAAAATAAATATTTTTTGGGTATTCCTTGCAAAGTAAATTCAAAGATTGAAGTCATGATTTGATGGAGCAATGAAATACCTTTTCGTGTAACAATGGACCTTTCCCCGACCTTTGACCCCCGAAAAATTCATCCTATACTTTACCATTGCAAAATTTTCGGGGCTATTCTAAGAGTTCTTTTGCGAGTTGGCGCTTGTAAAATGGGGTATGTGTTTCAAACCATCATTATGATTAATCGCATACAACAATTTGTTTTTTAAAATTACCGTTGAAGAGTTTTAGCCTAGTCTATCACAGCTATTTCTACACTAATTTTTATTACTGCAATTAAATTAAAACTCCTAGGAAGACAGGGTGACCATTGACATATCTGATTTACATTTAAGTTTCCAAAACACAACTGAAAACTAACGAATAGAGTTCAAAAATGCGAAAACGAGGTAATGTTTACGACCACGCTTGAAAATCTGTCTGAGTGAGAAAAGTGTCTGAGCGGATGCGAAAAGGGAGCATTGTTACGTCACTTTTTGCAATTTGCTGATTGGCCAATGTCACGAAGTAAACAAGGAAGTCGATGCTCGGGGAAAGGTCCATACCAGCCAATCTTTGAAAATCCTGGCCAAAAATTACCCTCTGGAAAAGTTAAGGTCAAATGTTACCACATGAGGCGCATCTCCAAATTCCGATGTGTAAACGGTTGCGAAGGAAGCTGCAGTCGTTGAGGTTTCCGACCGTCATTTTTTTCTAAAGGCTGAGCACACTTGGTAAATAATTAAATAAAATGTAGGAAAGCGATACCTCAGTGCTTTAACCACAATATTTCCCAGATATTAAGTGTAAAGTTGACAACATTTCAAAATTAATTTAAAGGCATTGTGGCGAGGCTGTACCGTAACGAAGCAACCGTTAGGTCATAGCCTATTAACCCTCGAATTTAATGAGCAGTGAGAGAAATTCAGTTCAAATTCAATACCATATGCCCTCAACCTCTAAACCAACTCGAAAAACAAAAAAAAAGTGAGAAATGGTGACACAGACATTTTTTTGTTGCGAAGAGAACTGTTTAAACTCAGGAATTTATCCCCGCCTCCTTTTTGCTTCTGCTCTTTTAAATGGTGTTTACTGATATAGGCTATACTTTCGATGAATCTTAATGCTGTAATGTCGATATCCTTTTTGTACTGCCTTCGCATATCCTGCTTTTATAAAGTATAAAGAGAGGTTTGTCAAACTTGATTTTTATTTTTTTTTAAATTACATGTAGTACATTTTTACAGAAAATTAAATTATACTGCTGTACTGAAGCCCTTTCAAACCTTTGTGTATACCACTGTACCACAATGAGGTTTAAAATAAGCATTCCAAAAGATCAACCATCTCAAGAGGTTATATCTTGTGTGGCTTGGAGCTCAGCTAACGAAGTTTTGTCATGTGGTGATGATCATCAAGTTATGAAATGGAACCTTGTCAGTGGAGAGACACAGGTTCTGACCAAGTTTACTAATGATGTTTATTGTACACATATGCATCGTTTTCCAACTTCAGGACAAGGCGGAAAAAAACAAGGACAGGGCGAACTTTTTGCAGTCACAAGCACAGAGGGTAAATTCAGGTTAATGGCAAGCTCGGGGAGAATTGACAAAACTATAGAGGCACACACTGGTGCTGTTATCAGCGGGAAGTGGAGTCATGATGGTACAGCTTTTGTTACAGTAGGTGAAGATGGTCAGATAAAAATATGGTCGAGATCTGGTATGTTGCGTTCCACTTTATCACAGTTTTCTTCTCCAGTTTATGACGTTGCATGGAGTCCAGAATGTGATCATTTGTTATATACAGCTGGAAAACAGCTAGTTATAAAATCTCTGCAACCTTCAGCAAAACCAGTAACATGGAAAGGCCATGATGAGCTGATTTTGAGGGTGGATTGGAATCCAGTGAGTGGATTAATTCTTTCTGGAGGGGAAGATTGTAAATACAAAGTATGGGATAGCTATGGTCGTCCTATATATACCAGTATTACTCATGACTACCCAATCACGTCATTGTCCTGGTCTCCTGATGGAGAATTGTTTGCTATTGGCTCATATAATACCCTGCGTCTTTGTGATAAATCTGGTTGGTCTCATAGTTTAGAGAAGCCTGCAACTGGAAGCATATTCAATGTAATTTGGAGCAACGATGGTACTCAAGTTGCGTGTGCATGTGCAGCAGGAAAAGTTCTTTTCGCTCATGTGATTGAACAACGTCTTGAGTGGAAAAAATTCGAAGTGAGTGTTGTGAGTCGCAAAACAATTGAAGTACGTGATGTCACGAATAATGCACATGAAGTTTTGGACATGAAGGATCGCATCATCAAAGTGTCACTGGGATATGATCATTTGGTTGTTGTGACATCATCACAGTGTCATGTCTACCACACCACAAACTTCAATACTCCAGTTATATTTGATCTCAAAGAAGGTACTGTTTCTATGATTACTCAATCAGAAAAACATTTCATGCTAACAGAAGCAACAGGAATTACAATATATTCATATGAAGGACGTACTGTTTGCAGTCCTAAACTGCCACCATCTGTGCGGCCTAGTCTTCTTAGTAACCACATTTTGTCATTGAGTAAGGATGCATTTGCAATTCGAGACAACAATGAGCATCGTGCAGTAACTGTTTTCGAAACCTCATCTGGTAAACCTCTCAATGATAACAAGCCTATTTTACACAAACTTGAAGTGCAACAACTTTGTCTGAGCCAATGTGGTTCAATGAAAGAAAGATTTCTTGCTGTGATAGACAAGAATAGGGATTTATACTTAACACCTATCAGAAAACTTGAAGCTCATTACAATACAACAAAGCTGTCAACAATGATGAGATCCATATGTTGGAATGACAACACAAACATGCTCTGTGGTGTTCAAGAAAACAAACTTATTGTATGGTATTACCCATCTGTTGCAACAGTAGATAAGGATATTATGGCTCGAACCGTATTTGAAAAGGACATCGCTGATTGTGGGAAGAATCCCGAACTTCGGGCATTCATTGGTAATACAGCTGTTATACGACAAGCTGCAGGAGCAACAACCACCATTGGCATTCCTCCTTATCCATCTATTCTTCATCAGCTCATGTCATCTGATCGCTCTGAAGAAGCATTGAGACTTTGTCGATTTGTCAAAGAAACATCACTCTGGGCATGCCTCGCGGCCATGTCAGTTCAAAGGAAAGATCTTTTTACAGCTGAAATGGCATATGCTGCTATAGGTGAAGCTGATAAGGTGGAATATCTGCATCATATCCAGAATATCAAGTCAAAAGAAGGGAGAATGGGGGAGATTTCTCTTTTTTGTGGCAACGTACCAGATGCAGAGGCAACTTTTATTGCAGCTGGCTTAATGTACCGAGCTATCAAGCTGAATGTTGATCTATTTCGATGGGAACGTGCACTGGAACTTGCAACAAAGCATAAAACCCATGTGGACACAGTTCTTGGTTTCAGAGGACTGTATTTACAAAAGTTAGGGAAGCCAGAATCAATCGCAGACTTCAAAAATATGGCAAACAAAGTGGAAGTGAATTGGCAAAATATCAACAATAAAATTGAAATGGAGTTAGAAAAAGAGGCAGGGAATTAACTTGTAATTAAATGTGTAACATTGCAGAACTAGCATTGATAAACTCGAACATGTACTTCCACGTTTCTCAATCAATTGATGTATCAACAAAAACCACACATGTACATTTTCCAACCATCCGCTTAGAAAAAAATTCCAATTGCTTATATATATATTACTTGTAGAACTTATAGGCTAATGTAGTTTTCTCATATTTACCAATCACAGTTTCAACTGTGAAAATTTCATGGTTCAATAATATATTTGTGATTTAAAGTCAATATGGACAATCTATTTAAAATTAGTTCCCAAATTCAAATTATTTTTCTATATTCGTAAATAAGCTGCTGAAATATTCTTTGTATGCTTTATCAGCCTGTTCTTCTTTTATTTCATTATTTTACACCTATTTCTCATGTATCCCATATATTGAACTAGAATAAAAAGTGTTTGAAGTAAGATTAGAATTCGAAAGTGAACAATATAGATTAGCCTCACCAGGTTCCAAATATAATACGATACATGTTGTATCGGTTTCTATCCTACGATGTATTAAAATATTTAACTGTGGTGGTGTCCATTATACTGTTTTATTTTGTAATTTTCTGTACTCGGCTGTAATTTATTATTACGTTTTCTGTAAATTTTATTTTTTTACTTCAAGTTGTGAATTGTATTCATAGTGTATTATAGCATATTGATTATTAGAATCAATGAATGGAAGGTCTCGAGTATAGAACTTTTAGTTGGGGTTGTTCAAACTAAACTATCTGCTAACACCCGCTCATCATTGTTTTACTAATCGGCAATTAAAACAGATCATATTCTCACCCTAGATAAAAATTCTTCAAGAGACAATACCAACACATGTGAAGTGTTCGTGAATTGAAAATAGTGTTTTCAGCTAATGGCAACTTTAAGCTGCAATCTATGTTTGGGCAACATGGGTGTATCAATGTCTAACCCAAAACGCACCAAATCAAGTTGCAATATATCAATCATGCCCTGTCCATGACGTATTACGAAACTTGTTAGTTTTGGTTTGAAATTAAATCTCTAAACTTTTTTCGTAGCAGCAATCGAGGAATCATCCAATGAAGTTTCCATACACAACCACGCCGTTTGGGCATGAAAAGAAGTTATTTTTTTTTAACACTGTAAGTTTAATGCGGTAGGAAATTGCATCAAAATTGAAAATGAAGCATTCTACTGGACGATGATGAACGAACGATGACATTAGGTATGGAAAAAGATAGATATATTGCCACAATAACCATTGAATTTAGGACTCATCCGTAGCGGGATATTGGGCTTACAGCAAGGTGGGTTCACACAACTTCAGAGATTAAGGTGAAATTTTCGTTGAATGCTGTTTATTCACTGGCCACCAGGTGTACATATGGATCGAAATTCATGCGCGGTGGACATGCAGTCAAAACTGCTCCGCAAGACCGGGTTGGTCTTCCTCAAAAAATTCGATGTGAATTCGACACCAATGTGAACTGCGAAATATGAACTTTTGTCAGAAAACTTAAACCTAAGTGTTTCAAAGAAATATCCTAATGGAAGAAGTATATTTATTGTAAAGTGGAAGCTTTTCTCTGTCGATATGATTCCCACAAAGTTTTTACCGTAGAAAACATTAAACCCTAAGACTAAGCAAGTTTGTGGCCAGTCCACAATGTGGGAGAGGCACATTTTTTTTCCATATTATGACGTGTCACTACGCTTATCCGTGCATTTTGATCCAAACAAGAGATAGATAAAAGCAGATATCTAACAATATTCTAAACCTAACACAATCTCTCGGCAAACTCGCTCCGGTGTCGCAGTTATCCAAGCTATTTGAGCGCATTTTCATCTATCTCGGACGACGATTATTTCATTTAGACAAATGGATATTGATTGTAGGCCAGGAAATCATCGGGTTCTCAGTAAACCGGTCAAAAATAGATCAAAATTGTGTTAAAAAGACGTACAAATTTGTGCCTCACTGAAAATGCCGCAAAATAGCATTTGGGGAAAAATATTGGGGGGTCATGGGCCATGGCCCCTCATCTCTCTGTCTGCGCCTATGAGACCAAGTAGCCTAGTGTTTTGAATGAAATGCAATTCTTGGATTCCGTAGACGTCAAATGTCTGAAATATTCCGTATTTTTATATTGTTGTTCTCACCTTTTGTCAGGTTGGTACTTTTATTCAATCAATCATTTATTTTGGTTCTCTGAAATAAACAATACAAAAAGTAAACAGACAAACAAAATGCAGAGATACCTGGGGGACGGGCATAACTTGAAAAAGTCAAAAAGCGTACAATGTACGTGCCCGCCCACCAAAAATGAATAACACAAACACAGAAAAACGCGATTTACAATCGGGCAATACTTTGGAAGCAATTTACCAAAAACAGCAAATTGAAGTAAATAATTGAATGCAATAAACCAGCGACCAGCGGTTACGTGAACTACCCAACGACGGCGAGAAGTTCAGCAATCCTTTCGCACATAACCATCCCTGCATGAGATTCGAACCTGCGAACCCATGCAGAGTAATTACAGGTGCGGTGGCGAGCGTATTCCTACCGCTCAGCCCGTTGAGCCACACCGCCGCGCCGATCTGCTTAACAATTAATTTTTATTCTCCCAATTGAATTTTCATTGGGGCATCAGCAACACGTGACACTATCTTCTCATTCATCCAATGGAAACAGTATTTCAAAGACAATTTATTTGGACATTTCAAAGCTTTAGAAAGAGTTTGCAGAACGGAATCTTGCACTAAATACTGTCGCAACACAAATCTGGTTGAATTTGGCTATTTTGGAAATATTTTTATATGATAAAAAGTTGTTCTCGATCACAAGACGTTTGCAGCATACTTTTAAACGTCGATTACTTTTAAACGTCGGGACTCAATTGTCAGACCTATGTCGTTTTTAATACATATACGCTAATGATTTTCAGGGCCAAACTACTAGTGCTTATGTAAACTATACATGTTACACTTATTGCATGTGTTTCCACGCATTTAGGCTCGGCTTCCAGTGTATTGACATTTTTATCTACCAATAACTTGTAATGCCAAAGTATTTTCTGTTTAATTTCGGTAATGTTAGTTGGCTGACTTCTTTCAAGTAGCCTACTTTCGTTTCTTTTTAGTCTAAAATTGAGATGAGGAAATTTTAATTTTTCAGCAGGAATATGTTGCAGTAGGCTATACTTTTGGCCTATTTACCCAAAGGGCGCTTTTGGTTATTCAATAATTTAAACCACACCGAGTTAGATGGGCTCACTCTGGCCTTTTGAATATAGCATTTTCGAACCACCTTGAGATAAGTCAATGCAACTTTCTATTTACTGACTTCTATGTAGGCTACTACTATTTGCTAATTTAGGCTTTTTATTCCAACCAAAGCATTCGATTTTGTTTATCTACATTTCTGGAACAAAATCATATCTAAATACCATAATTTTGATAGTAGTAACGATTTTATGATCAAATTTTCTGACTTGAAGAGTCCCGCCATTTCCATCTATTGCTCACCTCCTGTAGGGGAAGGTGGGCCACGGGGCACAGGGGAAATCAGCTCTCGCACTCATATTATATTCGGAATCAGGTCTACGGTTCAATGTTTGTTTTCCGTCCTTCGGTGAGTTACAACGTCCCCGTAAATGTCACCATTATAGTTTTTTCCTACTTGACCTTTTTCCTACGCCAACAGGACGAACCTCCGTCTGATATTTTTCAGCTATAGTCAGACCACTGTAAAATAATTATAACATTGGCGAGTGGATGTGCCTTCCTAATCCCGACGTAGAACAGTCAGGAAATATTTGGGTACTCCCGAAGTATGTGAACCAAGATGACAGACACCGGAACGTAGTATGTGTACCAGATTAGGGTTAGGCCATAATTTCAGATACAAATACCACGGGAGTCATTTGACTAGTATCCAAACTCGTAATAGAACTAACATAAGGAAAATCGGAATAAAATTATGGCTCAACCCTAACCTGGTTCACATACTACGTTCCGGTGTTTGCCATCTTGGTGCACATACCATGGGAGCGTCAAAATTTGTTTTCTATGGGGAACAATAGACCGGGGTTCAGTGGGATATGCTCCACTACGTCAAATTCGACAGTGTTTGATTCGTTAGTTAAAATATTATTCTAAATTAAAAAATATTTTTCAAATTCAGATTCGAAAAAGTGAATAATTTGCCTTTGGCCGGAATTAAAAATTTGGCTTGTTTTAATATATAAATGTTGGTTTTGCTTTGGTGGACGCAGTGAACAGATTAGTGATTGGAAAAATTACACCGTCATTTTTTGTTCTTTCACACTCCTTTTTGTTATATGTCAAGTTTGTTATATGTCATTGGTTGAAATTAGACATAATCCAAAAGTGAAACAATGAATTCATTTCCGATTTAATATATATATATATATATATATAATAGTAATCTAAAAATTCAACAAGCAAGTCTGCAGTGATATCCTTTTACTGATAAATAACACGAAAAAACTGCTAAACATAGAATATTCGAATATGACCATATCATCATCCTCTGGAATGTCCTGCAAGTCACTAGATCCATAAATTTCAATGAAGAGTTCATTTAATTTAACTGATATAACCAGGTCTTATATTAAAATCATTTTCAAGATACGGGCAAGTTCTTATTTTCGGAGAAACACGGTGATGAGGAAAAATATGACGTCAAATACAAATACAGTATTGCTGTTTCTCTCTCTATTGGAGTTCTAAAAAAAGAGCAATGATGCTTCTATGAATTGTGAATGTGAAAAGGGAGGATAACTCGTTCCCCTGCGCAATTGGATGAGTTATCTCAGCGTCTGTCCGTCCTGTCTGGTTCCTGTACTTATGATTCGGAGTGGCAGAATTATGGTGAAATAAAGAATTTGATTGTCTTTTCGTATAGCAACAAAACACAGAAACATGGGTTATTGGACACGTAGTGGACAAAACGATCGTTTCAATATTATGTTGTTGTTGTTCTTGTTCTTGTTGTTCTTTGACACGTTTTTAAAAAGTCGCTTTTCTCTTCGAATACTGGACCAATTGCTTTGAAATTTTCAGTGGTTAAAGATTATTTTTTTCGCTAGAAGGCTATTACTTTTGTTTATTCTTAAATTTTATATGAATCCTATGAGATATGATATTTCATACAAAATTTCGCGGTATTTATTTTTACTCATGGGAACACTGTTTTACACTTATTTCAAGCGGTTTCGCGATCGATTGTCTTGCTCAGTACTACAGCTACTGTAGGTCGGTACTGGTAAGTTGCCATACAGGTACCGTAACGCAGTGAAATTGACTTATTCCTTCCGCGGTATTACTAATGCTGCAATGCAAGTTTTATAGCCTATCGTATGCGGAACGGAATATCAGACCTACAGGTTCGGTACCGGTACTGGTAGCTCAGTACGTAAGTACGATACTGGTACTGGTGTCTTACCACAATGAAATTACCGTAACTTATTCTTTCACGGTCCTACCAGTGCAGTAATGCAAGCGTTGTAGCACTTGTAGCCTACTATATTTGTTTATTTTGACGAGAGTCTACTGGAAACAACATAAAATTTGAAAGGGAAGAATTGTTCTGTGATCAATTATCTGTCCTAAAGTGTAAACAACATAAAATTTGCAAGGGAACAACTGTTCTGTGATCAATTACGGTACTGTATATGGCCTACAGTGTACAG